CAATGACAGCCTTGTATTTAGCACTACCGAATAATAACCCCTATTAGCTTTCCTCTATAGCTTCCTTGTTACTCTTACATAGAAAGTGGACAGGGTACATTATTTTAAAGCAATTGAACAATTTAAAAACAACTTCACATAATCAAAATGAAAACGAAAATGTAGGAGACCAAGACCAAGCTTGAGTTAAGGAATTCCAAAAGATTTTAATGTGGCACCAAATTGAGGCTAACAGTGCCAATCAAGCTTCCAGGAGAAAGACATTATAGAATTCAAATGCCATAATCAAAAGGCTCTCTTCTCTCTCATAGACTCTTGCTCTGCCAGTGGTGGAATAAAGTGAAGGTCTCCTTCAGTAGGTGTATAGAAGAATATGTCCCATATATCACTCATTATCTCCTTTTCATGCACACACATCTATGGCATATCTCTAATACAGGATGTTTAAAAGAGATGGACCTGATTTGAAATCGCTATAGCTCTGCAACCACAAACTGCCCACTTGGAAGGGCTTTGAATGATTACCACTGAGATTCTTGTCCCAATGTTTTGCATGATTACCATTAGATGCCTATCCCTGTGCACAAGCAGTCATTCACAAGATGGTGACCCTGCAACATGGCCTAAGAAGATAATTCTTCATTTGTGGAGTTATTTTTTAGATTTCTTTCTGGCTCAAAAAGGTTACTAAAACTTGATAAATATATAACCCATTCAACTTTGTAACTTTTTGTCTAATTGTAACATGTTGCCATGGTGAAATAGACTGTTTTGAAATTGGGTCCATCATTTTGAAACACTGTATATATTAAATAATGTATCTTATATAGACATACTTCAGTGACAAACAAACTCCTTTTGCAAAGCCTTTCTCGGTCTAGTTGTTAGTTATTTATAGCAGCATTGGCTCTAGAAGGAAAGCCAATGCATGTCAGGTTGTGCTGGAGTGTCCATAGTGAACAGTAGGGAAAGAGTGGAATTCTGCTCTAGCCAATCCTACTGTAACCTGGGTGGTTCCCTACAGCAGGCAAGATAAACAGCAGCTGTCTTCAAAATCGTTTACTGTGCATGCATGAACTGCAAATCAGGAAAAGAGGGAAGCAGATATACCTAACACTAGCTATTCCCTATACATATATAACAAGCATAGATCTGTACGCCATCTACTCAAATTGAAGTAATAAAAGGGGATATTTATTGAGGTCATCCTGGATCGATTTTGCAAGCAGCATATCAGTGGTTTCCAGAATGTTCAAAATGTTTCCTTCTGCAGGGTTTCACAGGTGCATATTGTTTATTTTGAATCAATTTTTTGCTGTAACGTATTGAGTTGGTTTTTTTTTTATGTCCATAAACACCTCCAAGGTCATGTGGCCAGTATGGAGCGCTGTTACCTTCCCGCCAAGAAGAATAATACAGTGAGACTCTACTGTATTATTATTTTACTTGAAGTAGCCAGTTTTTAATCTAGTGTTGTGTATCTAGAACCTTTTAGGTGTCTGGATAAAGGTGTCTGCAATGTGTGATTTGAATTCTTGTTGAGTTTCATGAATATAAGTCATGCTTCCAGGGGTCTTTATAGCCTGGGCTAAAAGACTATTTAATGTAAAAAAAAAAGTATGCATTGTATATCTCTTGTTTAACTATTCTCCTCTTTATTAAATGAACACATAGAAAGAGGCAGTGCTGAAGGTAACTTAAAGGACTGTAGAATACTTGATATTCATATATATATATATATTTGCTTTAATTAAAACTACTTGTATTAGAAATCAGTTGTTCTTTTATCTTGCTTTAGTGTAAAAGAGATAGTTGATTGACAGAAGTCACATTATCTAAGGCTGCAACTACACTGTAGAATCAGTGCAGTTTAATATCTTTTTAATTGCCATGGCTCAATGCTATGCAATCCTGTAGTTTGGTGAGGCAGCACAAGCTAAAGACCTTGTAGAACTACTACTCCCAGTATTCCATGGCATTGAGCCATGTCAGTTATTTGGGGTTGACTTCAGCAGAGCAGTTATGTGGCTGTACCTGAGGATGGAGTTAGAGCAGCCAGTTGGAAAGTCACAGGTTTTATTATGAGCACTGGAATCCTGTTTTGAAAAATAGAGGCCTTTATTGTTTTAATACCAAAGAACACATAATAGACACCATAGGAATGCTAGCAAAAAGTGACACCTAGTGGTGAGTGATATTGATAAGACTTTTAAAACACAGTCATACTGTCTTTTTACACTAGTAAAAAGTGAGGCTGGATAATCCAGCAGTATTTGTTGAGTAAAGGACAAATGTAAAATGATTTTCTGCACATTAATAGTTATTACCCACTTAGAACTAATAAAATTTCTAGGGCTTCTTTGGTTTAACAAGATTTATATTTCCATAATTTTATGAAAGTTATGAGTATGAAGGAGGTGATTCTAGTTATTCACTTGAAGTACTATTAAGATTAATTGAAGCAGCAAAAACAAAAAAAAAACAACAGATCTGTTTATTCTCATCAGGGAGAAAGGTGAGTACTATGTTATTGTATGGAAAAGGTAGAAGACAGTCCCAGTGTGTTTCACAATAATGCTTCAAGATGACCACACACACACACACACACACACACACTTTATTTATATTCTGCCCTATCTCCCCGAGGGGACTCAGAGCGGATTACAGAATATATATATAGCAAACATTCAATGCCTTTATACAATTAACAACAAAGACAGTACATAGAGGCAAGGCTTCCCTCTTTTTCATCTCCTGCATCTGGAGGCCATGCTCCACTTTGGCCATGGGGAGGTGCTGTTGTTCCATTTTCCATGGCAAGGAGCCTGTTGTTTGTGGGAGTCTTCCTGATTGAATTGCCGGCATGTCTTCATGGAGGCCTTTTATATCTTTTAATCTGTTTTATTGTTCTATGTGTTTATTTACCTGTGTGTTTTAATTCGTTTTATAGTTTGATGGGTGTGTTTTTATTGTTATGTTCATATGCGGCAATGAAAACTACCAGAAAGACCGATTAATAGGTGTCCCACCTGAGACTCTGAAAATGCTAGCCAACACTATTCAAGTTTGGGAACCAATTGCTATGAAAATAAAGTGTGTATGGTCCACTTGATTACGTATGATGTCTGTTCTGTAGAAGTCCAAAGATCTTACAGTGTGTTTATGAGAATACAGGAAACGACCAAAGGCAAAAGTTCAACCTGGTTTTTTTTTGTTTTTTTTTAAAGAAATCTAAATACTTCGGAAAATCATAGAATCATAGGGTTGGAAGGGGCTCCATGGACCATCAAATCCAACTACCTTCTCACATTGTCATTCTTGAAATAGGGACTGAAATCTGAAAACCTAATACATCTATGAGATTTGGGTAGGATTCCCTTGAGGATGAGTTGAATCAGTTGTGTTCATTCAACATGTCTGATCCTGAAACAGAATTTCCTGCACCAAACCATTTACTATCCTATGCTCTGCTGTAGATGCTCCTTAAAACTGTATTAAGACCATTATATTTGTGTTACTACCTGTCACCTCTGTGTCATACCCCATGTAGTTTATTTTGATACAATCTCATCATTTTTCTGTCCTCCTTATACCATCCAGAAACTAACCTGCTCCAACTGCTTCATTTCCTAAATAGCTAATGTGCTACAGATTCAAAAATAAATAAATAAATGGATGCAATTTCGTGCTGTTTTCCCCCCAATTACTGGACTGCTGGTATCAAATTACAAACTCACCTTAGATTAATTCGTTTTGGCTAATTAAGAATGTCCAATTTGAGTAACATGCTCAGAAAATGTATTTAATGAATAGAATTGAGTGTAGTTTGGAAGCTAGTAAGCTACATATAAACCTGCATAAGATGAATCAGCACCTAATCTTTGCAGGGTTCAAACTCCAGAGGGAAAAATAAGGATGTAATTCTAGCTGTTTTCTTATCAGTGGCATGGTTCCCCATTTTAATGAGACTACTGTATATACTCGAATATAAGCCGATCCGAATATAAGCCAAGGCACCTAATTGTACCACAAAAAACAGGGAAAACATATCAACCCGAGTATAAGCTGAAGGTAGCAAATGCAACAGCTATTGGTAAATTTCAAAATAAAAATAGATACCAATAAAATTACATTAATTTAGGCATCAGTAGGTTAAATGTTTTTGAATATATACATAATTTAAGATAAGACTGTCCAACTCTGATTAAACCATTATTCTAACCTCCTTCCAATAATAATAGAGTAAAATAATACATGTAATTAAAATAAGAGTAAAATAATGGAAATGTAATAACAATAATAATAGAGTAAAATAATGGAAATGTAATAATAATAGTAAATAGAGTGAAATAATAAATGTAATAAAAGTAATAGTAATAACAGAGTAAAACTTTGACTCAAGTATAAGCCAAGGGGAGCTTTTTCAGCCTAAAAAAGAGCTGAAAAATTCAGCTTACACTATATAAGGTAGATTACATCTTGACTTTTGAACTCTCGTGGTTGTAGGGAAAAATTAGGAAGTTGTAGAACCAAGGAAACAAACCATGACATTACCATGCTCTGTGGTATTTATGTAAATGTCTATTGCATGATGCCCATAATCTTAAACCATACCTGCACTAGTACCTCTCCGCAGCCATAGAGATGCATTCCAGCCATTGGAACCTATTTTTAAAATTGGATGTCATTAGAAGTAAACATTGTTTTCCAAACCCAAGGTGTAACAATTACAGAATAAACAATCCAATAAATAATGTTCTCTATTGTTTGGCATCTGTCAAGTTTGCTGAATTAATATGCAGGCTACATGCTGCACAACATTCAAGTTAATTGCAGCCGTCCAGCATGTGAACCTTCCTGTGACCTTTTTCATTGATCAACTTCCATCCCAATCATCCTATCTTGGCATCACCGCTCCACTAAATGCATCTATAGAATCACTAACCACTGCTTGGGTTTGAAGGTAATTCTGTTCTTTATTTTTCTGGTTCAAACTCCAGGAAAAAATAAAGCTTGATGCTGAGAGGGAAAAACTAGAAAAGCTTCAGGAGCTTTATTCCGAGCAGAAGACCCAGCTTGATAATTGCCCCGAGTCCATGAGGGAACAATTACAGCAACAGCTAAACAGGGTCAGTAGCATGGATTCTGTGAGTGTGTGTATTTTCAGTTAACTGTGACATGATCAAACTCAGCTGTCCAAGACTGTCATTTAAAGGGTTTAGTTCAATACATCATGGTGAAAGTTAATAGGATGCAAAGAGTTAGAGTAAGAATTGGTTGTGAGAACACACTTTAAAACTTAACATGCTTTGACTATCAGATAATAAAGAGCTTGGTGGGGATATGTTTGAAACTTGAATATTTTGTTAGGAATTAGGTATTCCTGCTATAAATGAGGTAGAACAGTTCTCAGCTCTGATTAATGTGACAAGCAATATTTAACACTTAGATCTCATTACATTTATAATTGCTTTTACATTTCTTGTTTGTAGCACTGTGGCACGCAACTTTTTTTACATTTTCTTGAGATGGTTTGTTTTCCCAATATTCTTTCTTGTATAATACATTATATTTGAGTACTGATTTTTTGTCATGTGAAATATTTTGTTGGGCTTATTTTACTGCCATTGGAAATTCCTATAATACTAATAACAACAACAACTTTATTTTTATACCCCGCCTCCATCTCCCCTAAGGGACTCAGAGTGGCTTACAAAGGGAGTAGAAGATTATATCCAATATTGGATTTACCTTAGAAGAAAATTGCTTTTTTTAGGTAGACAGTGTCAGTGTCTCCCACATACTGTATCCATCCACATTATGTTACTCATTTGTTTTTATCTTAATATTTTTGAAATTGGTTTTAAGAAGCCTTTATGAGGGTTCTTTTCCTAAATGGTAGAATGTAACATTACAAAATGAACATAAAACCAGTTCTGTCTTGCAGGGTCCTTAATCATCAGGATCTTCTTTCCTAGGATAATGAGGATAGTCTGGATAGTATATGGCAGTGTAGAAGGGGCCTCAGAGGAAACCATGTATATGAAGACGCAAAAGCTGGGAGATCTTTGAAAATAAGTACTGGAACAATTAAAGGCATGCTAGAATGCAATAATTACGTATGGAGAGTGTTTCTTCCTAGAATAAACTCTTGTAAGTGGATATTAGCAAAGTATTTAAGATGACTTGCTGAAGGAATTAGTATGTTCATGGAACTTGAAATGTTTACTGTTAAGTCAACAGTCTTTTAAAAAGTCCTTTGTATGGTTGGAGAGCCACCATGGTGCATTGATTTTTGTATTGGATCAGGATACAGGGAGACAAGAGTATGAATGAACTGTGGAAACCCACTGGATGATCTGGGACATGAGAGAAGCCTCCCGCAGGATGGTAAAACATCCAGGCGTCCCCTGGGCAACGTCCTTGCACACGGCCAATTCTCTCACACAGGAAGCAACTTGCAGTTTCGCAAGTCGCTCCTGACACACACACACAAAAATTGGATGATCTTGGACAACCCTTGCTTTTTCACCTTCAGAAGAAGGCAAGGACAAATCCTTTCTGAAGAAACTCTGCCAAGAACGCCCAGTTATTGTTTTTCCTTAGGGTCATTCTTAAGTTAGAAAGACTTGAAGGCACGCAACAACAATGTATAGTTGATTTTACTTTGGGTTTTTAGGAAATCCCATTGAGTTCAGCAAAACTTACTTTTGTATATGACAACACTGAATAACTGTATGTCACTTTTTCAGTTTAAGCTTTTGTTTATTATTAAAGGATGCAGACCTGTTGGAAATAGAAAGCAAACATTTTGAAGATCTGGAATTTCAGCAGCTCGAAAATGAGAGCAGGCTAGATGAAGACAAAGAGAACTTAACCCAGCAGCTCCTGCGTGAAGTGGCTGAGTATCAGCGGAATATTGTCAGTAGAAAGGTAACTTAAAACAAAAACAAAGCTTGGACATAACATTATTTTTTGTGGCTTATTTTCACTCTGTAGTCAGCTGTTACTGAAGTTCATCTCCTTTGGTTCCAAATCCATCCAACAATAGTTTAGAAAATAGATAGTGTTGAAAACTTTAAATATTCACATTCCAGTACAGGTTGATTATCTGTTATCCAAAATGATTGCAGTATCTAGTGTTTTGGATTTTTTTTTAAGGATTCTGAATAGTTGTGCTTGCGTATATGGTCAGAATGAGACAAGATGAAACAAAAGTGTCACTCCCTCAATCACCTTTCTGGATGATTTTGGAATATTTTGGATTTCAAAATTCTGGATAAAGGATACTAAGCTTCTGCTAATTCAAAAAGTAGGGTTAAAGAAATTAAGGGCCCTTCCAGACAGGCTCCATATCCCAGGGTCTGATCCCGGGTTTTCTGTTTATCCCAGATTATCTGACAGTGCGGACTCATATAATCTAGTTTAAAGCAGAAAACTTAGAATCAGATCCTGGGATATAGAGCCTGTCTGGAAGGGCCCTAAATCTGTTTACAATGTAGTGTATTTAAAAGTCAGCTCCTGTGATGTTTATTGGAACTACTCTCATGTAACCATGTAAGAGACTGGAAAGTGGGAACTGCCTGGGATCCTTGAGGAGAGTTTCAGCTCGTAATGTAATCTACAGTTAATAAATCATCTCATAACTAGAAATTGCATCTGAGTAGGTATCTGAGTATAAGATAACTCTCTTTGGCTGAATCTACACTGTCCTATATCCCAGGATCTGATTCCACAGCCAAATAATCTGAAATAACCAGATAATCTATGTTCAGGAACGATAAAGAAAATATATGACTGTTCCTGGAAGGGGAGGGTGGTGAATGGGAGAGGAAGGCGGAGGGGAAAATTAGTGGAAAAGGGTTGAAAGAAGTAGAGGACGTGGGCGATAAGAAAGCAACTTTCCAGTGCATAAAATCTCATGGCAGTCGAAAGGATTTCTTGATTCCGGAAGACATTTTTTTTCACTGAGGACAAGAAAATTTGCAAGTTTTCTTTACTTCATGAGTTTTACTCTCCTTCTCGTGGCTGTATTCCTGATATTTATTTATTTATTTATTCATTTCATTTACTTATACCCCGCCCTTTTCACCCCGGGGGGGACTCAGGGCGGCTTACAGTGGAGGCACAATTAGATGCCCAAAACAACTAACAAGCAATACAAATACAAACAATTCAACAATTAATTAAAAACATCAGTACATAATAAAATAATAAAACAGTCTCATGCTCAGGGTTCAGAGTCCATATATCCATTCCATTCCATTTGTCCTTGTCTATCATCAGATCCTTCAGTTAGCTGTCAGAATGACCAAAGGCTTGATCCCAGATCCAGGTCTTCAGTTTTTTCCTAAACGCCAGAAGGGAAGATGACGATCTAATCTCCCCGGGGAGTGAGTTCCACAGGTGGGGGGCCACCACTGAGAAGGCCCTGCTCCTCGTCTCCGCCAGCCTCACTTGTGACAGTGGCGGGGTCGAGAGCAGGGCCTCCCCAGAAGATCTTAAGCTTCGAGATGGGACGTAGAGGGAGATCCGTTCGGACAAATACACTGGGCCGGAACCGTATAGGGTTTTGTAGGTCAAAACCAGCACTTTGAATTGTGCTCGGAATTGGATCGGCAGCCAGTGGAGCTGACGCAACAGGGGGGTGGTATGCTCCCTGTACGCCGCTCCGGTGAGCAATCTGGCTGCTTCTCGCTGGACTAGTTGAAGTTTCCGAGCAGTCTTCAAAGGCAACCCCACGTAGAGTGCGTTGCAGTAATCCAACCGGGATGTGACAAGAGCGTGGACCACCGTGGCCAGATCAGACTTCCCAAGGTACGGGCGCAGCTGGCGCACAAGTTTTAATTGTGCAAAAGCTCTCCCGGCCACCGCTGAGACCTGGGGTTCCAGGCTCAGCGATGAGTCCAGGATCACACCCAAGCTGCGAACCTGCATCTTCAGGGGGAGTGTAACCCAGTCCAACACAGGCTGTAACCCTATGCCCTGTTCGGCCTTTCGACTGACCAAGGGCCTCTGTCTTGTCTGGATTCAATTTCAATTTGTTAGCTCTCATCCAGTCCGACACAGCTAAACACCGGTTCAAGGTCTGGACAGCCTCCTTGGTGACAGGTGGGAAGGAGTGACAGATCTGGACATCATCTGCATAGAGATAACATCTTAGTCCGAAACTCCGAATGATCTCCCCCAGCGGCTTCATGTAGATGTTAAATAACATCGGGGACAGAATCGAACCCTGTGGGACTCCACACAACAACGGTTGTGGGGCCGAACAGGTGTCACCCAATAACACCTTCTGGGTCCGTCCCTCAAGGAAGGATCGAAGCCACCGCAAAGCAGTGCCTCCGACCCCCATATCCATGAGGCGCCCCAGAAGGATACCATGATCGACGGTATCGAAGGCCGCTGAGAGGTCCAGCAGAACTAACAGGGACACACTCCCCCTGTTTAGCTCCCTGCGTAGATCATCTACCAAGGCGACCAAGGCTGTCTCAGTACCATGTCCCGGCCTAAAGCCAGACTGTGCCAGGTCTAGATAATCAGTGTCTACCAGAAACCCCTGGAGTTGTGTTGATAAGCGGAATCGTTGCTCTATTGCTTTGTGTCCCCAGGTTCATATTGAATGTGTGTTGATGCTGTCTTTATAACAGGAGAAGATTTCTGCTCTCAAAAAGCAAGCCAATCATATTGTCCAGCAAGCTCAGAGAGAACAAGATCATTTTATCAAAGAAAAGAATAACCTGTTGATGATGTTGCAGAGAGTAAGTGCTTACTTTTCTTTCGCTGTAGACATCATAAAATAAAGCAATGGCATAATGTAATTTGAGAAAGTTATGTTCTTTGTTATCAAATTCTAACCAGTGCTGTCACTTTACTATGAAGAGCATTAGTGTGTGTTTGAGGCCTCTTCTACACTGCCATATAGCGTAAAATCCATATTACCTGCTTTGAACTGGATTATATGGCAGTATAGACTCATATAATCAGATCAAAGCAGATAATGTGGATTATCTGCTTTGATCATCTGGATTATATGGTAGTGTAAAAGGGGCCCGAGAGAGTTGAAGTGAGATAGAGATAATAGTAATAATAAAAACTGGAATGAGTTTACAATCAGATCTCTTATTACACAACAGCTAGATTTCGAAGTAGCAGACTCACACAGTCAGAAATAAATGTATCTAAGTTTAACATAGATTAATTTCAAATAAATAACAATAGGGTTTAAGGCTAAATTAGGAATTGGTTCAGATTTTATATGGCAGTTTAGAAGGGGCTAGAGTTCACTTGAAGGCACATAACAGCAACAAAATAATTATATAATGATACAGGTTGCATATACCTTATCTGAAATGCTTTGGACCAAAAGTGTTTTGGATTTTGTACCTTTTCATATTTTGGAATATCTATACAGATATTGGATGTAATATTTATTTTTAATTTTGTGCATGAAGCTAGCTTTTGTACATTGAACTTCTAAAAATCAAAGGTGTCACTGTCTCAGCCATGTGGACCATTTCAAATTTAGACATCCTAGATCAGTGGTTCCCAACCTTTTTTTGACCAGGGGCCACTCTCCAACATTAGTAACAAAAGGGTTACAAATCAGTTTTTGGTCAACTTTAGATTCAGTTTGGGGGACTGATTCAAAAAATTACATTGGATAGACCACACCAGCTCTAGTTTCTGATACAGAACATATGCCATAGTCAGTGATAGGGAAGGAGTTTCAGGCGGTGTGAATGGAGCAGAAATAAAATAAAAGGCATAAAGAGGAAGGAGGCTCCCGGACCAGATTTTCGTCCTCATGGTGATCCGCAGTCCACAGGTTAAGAACCACTGTTCTAGATAAAGGATGCTCAACCTGTAGGGTTGAAACAGAACAAGAACAACTATTTGAAAAGAATTTATTAAAATAACCTTTATACATTATTCAAAGCACATTTGAAGCACATATCTTAGGAATGTATGAAAGTCATCTGGTGACAATCTCTATTACCAGTTGTTAAAAAAATCTGCTTATGAATAAAAAAATTTCACAGTTTACAGAAGGTAATATTTTATGGAATGATGCATGGAGCTACTCTGTATATTTGGAGAACTAATAGTATACTAAAAGGTGAACTTAGGTTTTAGAATTTGAAGAAAAGAAGAGAGAGAGGGGGGATATATAATACAAATTATGTATGTACAATTCCATAATGAAGCATCATTAGACATCACTTTCTCTGTTTCTGATTATTGTGAGCAAGACATTAAACTATTTGAGTTCTTCTGTATTTATATTTACATATAAGTGGATTTCAAAAACTGTCAAATATAAGTTGGTTTGTTCTTAATAGGAGAAGGAAAATCTTTGCAATTTAGAAAAGAAATACTCTTCACTCTCAGGAGGAAAAGGATTCCCTGTAAACCCAAGTAGCCTAAAAGAAGTAAGTAAAAACGCAAGAGTACAGATGAGAAATGAAGAGTTGCTACTGTTTTTCTATATTGGATAGCATTTTATGACAACATATTTGGTAATATTCTGTGTGAAATGATGTCTAATTGCACTTTTCTGTGTATGTTAAAGAGCTATTATTGATAGAAGAATTGTAATGTTTCTAAAATAGGATACAGCTGTCTTATTTTGTTGGTTGTGGGATATATGGGTTACTCACCCATGACTGGTTAAAGCCATACTGAGAGACGGGTAATAAATAAAACATTATCATTACTACGACTACTACTTACTACTACTACTACTACTACTATCTTTATTGTGTTTTTTTTAACTTCTCATTTGAGCATTCAGACATGTGAATTGTGCACTACTGCAAAAATTTAGTTGGAAGGTTCTGATAAACAAATCTTCAAAGTGGAAAGATCCCTCCCTCTGAATGAATATCTAAGCTATACTTCCCTAAATTCTGATGATTGTCACCACGAAAAGATAGAAAATTAAACATCATGGGGGAAGGAGGGTGTGTTGCATGTATGCATAGATAGCCACTAAGGATCTCATCAGAAAGGCAAGGTGAAGCATCCCTCTTCGCCTGGCATTTCCCCAAAAAGAGAAGGGCAGCGGGGGAAATTGTTTCCCCATGCACAGCTCCCTCTCGGCAACACTTTCCTCATCACACGTGGGAAGCATTGCAATTCTGCCAAAACCCTGTGCTGGCTCCATTATAGCCAGCACACCATGGGCAGGCTTCCAATGGTGCTTCCACCCTGATTGTGGGTGGGACCTCAGCCAGAAGTTACACAATGTTGTGTGATGTCCGATGTGGGGCTCCACCCCCAAGACAGGGTGAAAGCGTCCCGTGTGATAAGGCCCTCAGAGAACAAATAAGCCACATGTTCTGTTTTATGGTCTGTGCTTACTTGGAGTGAATGTCCAAGTAAGAAATGTGCAGTGACTCTCAAGTACTAGAGAAGTAGCTCCTGCCCTGTGGAACATGTTCATATGGACAGAGCATAGGGCACTGGTCTCTTTTATGTACACCAGAGTTTCATACTGATGTGTCTAATGACTTCCACATGAGATTTTACTTCCAGTGTCCACGTTGTTTCATTTTGTTCATTCTGGATGTTATGTTTCAGAATATGTACCCTTCCAGACTGTGCAGACCATTTCACCAATGTTGATAGAATAGTACTTTAATTCCAGAAGTTGCATTCAGTTAAAAATGCAGGAGGACACATCAATTCTTCCAGTATATCTTTTTGCTTTTGCCTAAAGTTTTTTTCTTCTGCTATTGCTGCTGCTCCTGTCAATGAAATTATTTATATTTTAATTGAGAATTGCAGCTGCTCTGATCATCTTAATCAAACAGAAATTGCTTTGTTAATATGTTTGGCAAAATAGATTTCATCTCACTATGATAAATAATTCATATGTAACGACCTCTCTAAAACATTGTTGTTTGTATCACATTAAGGCATTCAAATATTCAACGTATGTAGCTTTGATGAGTTTTGATACTTTAAAATAATGTTTTGTAATAACACACATTTGGCTGTATCACTCTAAACTAACTTCCGCAACAAAATGGAAACTTTAATACTCTTGCATGCCTTTTGGCTTTTGCTTCTTTTTTTGTGTTTAACATCTCAATTCCTCCTTTTAGGATTATATGAGTGTAAATGACATTAGTGAGCCGTATGGCAATTCCACGAACATATCCCCTTCCACTCAGCCCCCCACTGCTGCTGAAGCTGTTCCCACTGAACTTTCCACAGTTGGCCTGATGAGCCAGCCACAAAACAAAGAGGTTGGTTTGAGAGACATTTCCCCTTTTGTACACCTTTTGCATTCATTTTTTTTGTAACAACGGTGTTTTCAGGTTAAGAATAAAGTTGCATTTATTTCTTTGCCATAATTAAAAAGACGTACAGCATAAGATTAGATTCTCATACATACATAAGCTCTATCTGAGATAGAATAAGGCCTTTCTTGCCAGAAGAAAGAAGCAGAAATAAGCAAGAAACTGTATGGTGTTTATTTCAGATGGTCTCCACTTGGCCATCTAATGTGGTCAACCTTTCATTTTGTTTCTAGGCAGATGTCATATTCAATTAAATCCAACACATATGACCCAAGACACTTTCCTGCCTGAAGCATTGACAGTCATGGTGTTTAGTATCTTAGGGGAACAATCTTTTGCTGCAAAAAGGGATGTATTGAAATATTGAGACTATTTTTCATTTAGTGCTACAAGTCCAGATAGAAAGTAGTCTGCACAAAGAGTCAAGCTCATAAGCTGTTTCCTCTTGACCCAAGCTTCTGGAAAAAAGAATAAACCATTTCCTTTTCTCATTAGCCTATTTTTGGCTCATTATTATGTGCAAACCAGGTATCGTGGTTTAAAATAAACTCTAATTCCTTAACTATCCCAGGTATATAGTCTGTAGTTTGAAAATGACTTGTTAGCCAGTAGAGAGAGATTACTTTAAACCATGATACCAGTTGTCAAAGAATGACAAATTAAGAACTGCATAATTGTAACTAGAATCTAGATTGCACTTTCTTCTAAGTACCTTGGAGAAGGATTGGGTAGGGGAAAGGGCAAGAACATGGAAATTTCTTCAGGTTCTATCTGTTTGTGCAGGTAAAACTTTATCTGTAAATAACGAGCTCAGTCTGAGATTTTAATCTAAATGCCTTTGCCACAAAAGGAAGATAGAGAAGCTTGCTTAACATTTTTTTTTTAAAAAAAAAACAAAACATGCTTTTAATTTCACATAGCCATACATTTTAAATTCTGTTTGTTGTTTTTTTATGTCCCAAGTCTATTGGCCACCTCAGAAAACCCTACAACCCTTCTCTTTCTCTGTCTGTCAGCTGTTCAAAACACTTTAGTGGGCTGTAGTCCTCAAATGCCTGTGCCATCATAAATGCATTATCCTTTGTTTGTGTGTGTTTGTAGCTTGTTTGTTAAAGAAAAATTGAGCTCTGAATATAATTTCTCTCTTTCCTATCAAACTAAAGGCACCTCTCTGTCCTGGATTTGTGCTTCCTCACCCCCTTTCTCCTCGTCCTCTTGCACAACTTTCACCAGCCCAATGGCCTGAGGTCAGGGCTGCAAATGTAGAGCCTTGTCCTTTACCTGACACACCGCCTCCTCTTCCAGCTAAGAAGCATCGGAGGCAGTCACAGGTAACAAGCCTGAAGCAAGATGGCCTTGATAACAGTGTAGTGATCTTTGCATGGACTTTTCTGTCCCAACCTGATGGAGTGCATGCAGAGTTGCCAGCACTGAAGCTAAAATGCTGTTGGCTCATAGGCTGGTTGGCATGTAGGGAAAGTGGCAGTACTGGGCTGAATCTGGTGCCCTTTTGTAGCTACAGCTGCTCAATCAGAAGATATAAACAACCACATAAACATCCAGCTAGGGAAATACACTCAGCAACTTAGTCCACATAACTCCTGCCTTTTATTGGCTCAACATGTTCATCCCACAGATTCTTGTTCAATCTGATAAAATTTTGGTGTGTAGATGAAGTATTGAATCTGTTCTTTGAAATTTTGTCCTACCACTCATTAAATAGGATATTTGGATAGTCATGGACATTTTTAGACTTATCAGATATGTATACATTTTCAAGATAACCTTCCTTAAACATTGGCATCTTATGACTTTTGTGTCAAGGGGGATCCATTTCAGGTTTTAGTCCAAACTTTAAAGACACTTATCCTAGGAACTAAACTTATTTTGGAGATAGAGTCCAGCATCTTGGACACCTCTTTTAAAGTTCAGACTGAAACCTAAAATAAATTCAACCCTGCCCCCTTTTGACATATCATATGTTGTGTTAATGAGGTCAGTTTAGTTAATTGACCCTAAATTGATAATTAGGTATTGACCATGACAGATTTTATACGAGGGTTTGCCTCACGTTATCTCAGGAATCCTTTCAGAAGAGTGATGGTTCAAAAGCTGAGGATCTCTGCATTTAATTTGCTTACCTTTCCTGGTTTTTCAACCCAAAGTATTGGCGGATCTAGGGAAATGCTTAGCTTTGGTCCTTACTTGCATTCATAACACTATGAGGATTACAAGAAAGTGAAATTGATCTACTTCAGGCATGGACAAACTTCGGCCCTCCAAGTTTGCATATGCCTGATTTAGCTTGAGTCCTGTGTTTAAAAATCAACTAGCTCTTGAATCACCGGTTAATTTTTCCTATGTTTGGTCCACTCAACCTCCAGTCTTCTATACCTGAAACAACAATCAGAGAAGTAACAGACAGTGGTTTGACCAGTGATAGCCTGTTTCCCCAAAAATAAGACCTACCTATAAAATAAGCCATTGTAAGCTTTCTAAGCATGTGCGCAATATAAGCCATACCCCGAAAATAAGACATAGTGATAGGCATGGCTATGCAGCATACAAGGTCAGGTCCCCCGTCAGGTCTCGTTCATTCTGTGCATGCTGCAAGCTGATGCATAGAGGGAGATATAGAAAGTGAACGTAAAAGTCTTCTCAGTGAAGTGAAGAGCAGGACACTCTGCTTTAGGTATTGTGTGTCCTCGGGGGAAAAGTAAAGCTGTGGCTGCCGTTTTACTCAACACTGTGGGTCTTTCTCACCCCCCACTACCACAAACACCAGTAAAGCTGCTGCTCCCCAGCACTGACCATCAACAGTCTGGGTCTCTCTCGCCCCACTCTAACACCAGGGGATAGGGAACAAACTTCAGCAAGCAATCTGCTACTGAGCCCAGAGAGATCATCACATAAATGCAGATTGGCGTGCCATTCTTAAGCCATAATGTGCCTTCTTGAGGAAAAGGAAATATAAGACTCTTATTTTTGGGAAAACACTGTTACTATGGAGTGTGGCCATGTCTCTTACATTTTTATAGCATAGGCATTTAACAGAAGTATCACTTAAGATACAATTTTATATGATAAAAAATATTGGAACTAATAGAACTAATCTACATTTGTGTGTGTTGCCATAGCATGAATTTTAATAATGCATTGATTTAAAATATGCCTGCAAATAGTTTTTAATAGTTGTTTGGCATGTGTAGCTCTAGCTATGAATAAATATCAAGTGCAATATTCTTTTAAACTAAAAATATTGGACAATGTATTGAGGCCGAATTTCTGTTCATAAAAAATTGCAATGATTTCTTTCATAGATGGTACCGTCCCAGCTTTCATGTGATTTTAAATTCAACCTGGCATTTAAATAGTGAATATTTAATATCTGCCTTTTCATTTATCAATTATATATTTAAATCTAACTTATTTTAGGGAGATATGTTTGTAAAGTTTTCTTTTGTTTCAATTAATTATTGTATGTAAAACCTTGTGTTTAAAATAAACCACAGGGGTTTGACAGTACAACCATAGCCCTTTGTCCTTACATTCAGATCATGGTTATCATTATCTCTAATTTCTGTATCATTTTTTTTTCCATTTCAAAAATGCTTCCCGTTGTTTAGAAGTACTTTTTTTGGCTATAACTTGTCAAATAAAATGTGACAACTTATTTGTGAGAAATATGATCATAACACATTTATGGTGACTCCTGTAGATATAGTTTAAAGAAATGATAAAAATAAATAACATTCTGCAACATAGCTTCATTTCTGTTCTGCACTTGCTATGTACTGCAAGATTACTATTATTGCTGGGTTTCTTATTATAATTTTGGTATTTATTTATTTATTTATTTATTTATAGCATTTATATTCCGCCCTTCTCACCAACTCAGCACAGAGCACAACGTATATACGGCAAACATTTAGTGCCAGAATAAAACAAACTATAAATATATGCAAACAATAAAAACAGTTGTATCCACTTTAAAATCAAATTGTTAAAACCATCCTACCTTTGTCCTTGAAATAGAGACTCAAGGCAGCTTACAAATTAAAACAAATACAGTATAGCTAATTCAGATGAAATATATTTAATATTAAACTAACAATAATATCAAAATCAGTTTTAAAATAACAAAGCAATTTATCGAGTTTTGAAAAGAAGTTAAAATCAATACAGCATCTCATTAAAAGTTCTTTTTTAAAACAAACACATCAGTTTATTGGAATGCTAAAAATTATTTGACTACCGAAAGACAACAATAAGGGGGCCATTTAAGCCTTCCTATAAAAAGACTTTCCAGATTCTATGGGCATCTGCCAAGAAGCCCTGTCTCATGTCCCCATCAAATAGAATAGAATAAATTTATGTCATTGTACATTGTACAACGAAAGTAAATGCTTTTCCCAACCCACATCACAAAACAACACACCAATCCTTCCACACTCCAATCACCACCTCACAACCTCCAACACCACATCAGCGCTAAACCATGTAGTTCAATATAGTTACAGCTCTAGCATAAAAGCTGTCTCCCAGTCTGTTGTCCTTGCTTTTGTCACCCTGTACCATCTACCAGATGGTAACAATTCAAAAAAAGAATATACTGGGTGAGATGGAGAAAACAACACATGTTCTGAGCTTTCTTAAGACTGTGAGACTTATAAAGTTCGTCCAAAGAAGGGAGAGAGCAACCAGTGATTCTCTGTGTAGTAGTGTCGTGACCCTTTGGAGCGTCTTCCAATCTTCCACTGTGCAGTTACCAAACTATGCGCAGAAGCAGTAGGTTAGGACATTCTCTATAGCACAGCGGTAGAAAGTCACCAGCAGTTTTTCATTCAGTTCTTGGTTCCTTAGAAGTCTCAGGTAATACAATCTCTGCTGGGCCCTCTTAACCAACACAGCCAAAGGAGCGCCTCAGGTCAGATCCTAACAGTGACACCCAGGAACTTAAAATGGGCCACCAACTTCTCTTGGTTTCTATTTATGACCAAGGGCTGGATTTCTGGCCTGTTCTTTCTGTAGCCCACTACGGGCTCCTTAGTCTTATTGATTTTAAGAACCAGATTATTGTCCCTTCACCATGAGAACAGCTGATCCACCTCATCTTGATAGGTGGGCTCATACCTTTCAGCTAGTTGGACTGAAAGACACAACTTATCTGGGATGGCATCGTCTTTCAGATAACCACAGCTTACATTTTAAAATTATATTCTTTTTTTCCAGCTATGCACAGAGATTTTAAAGACTTTTACAGCCCTTTAGAATGCAGTATAATCATGATATTTTATATATTTTAAGCATTTCCGAAATCTGGAAGAGAGGAGAAAGCAACATAAAGAAGGCCCATATATGAGTGATACTTTGCCACGCAAAAAAACAGCTCCTTCTGTATCGCCACATTTCAGTAGTTCGACTCTTGGACGAAGTGTTAAGGTGAGCAGTGTGTGTACAGCTTGTGTGTATCATATAAAATAATAAATTGTAAAAAAAAAAGGACTAGAATATGACTGGGACAATCTTTTGTCCCTCTTGTACTGCAGTTCTTACGTTGACCGATTCGCTTTAGGCGTTTCTAAATTCAGAGGTTAAGCAGGAGTTGGGAAAGGAATAACTTTCCTAGTCAGGGTTGGTTTGACACATTTCTCCCTTTTGCCTTCCATTCATGCCTCTTCGAATTCCACAGCACTGCTGGTCACAGCTGACCTCCAGCTTGAGCGCTCAAGGGCCAGGGCTTCCCCAGGAAAGCAAGGTCCAGCTCATCCTACTGTAGCTGTGTGTTGTTGACTGTTGACTGATTAGAAATCAGCTGTCTACCAAATTCCCTTACTGAGAATATGTGTACTGCAAAATGGCGAGGCAGATATGTTTGCCTCATCAGCTCTGCCCCAGCATGTCAAAAAGGATAGAACTATACGTGTGGCCCACCCTCTTCCTTCCTGGACACATGGGTGGCTCTAGTGATTTCCACAATGGGCAGGATCTTTTACAACAGAGGAGACAACACATATGGTTCCATTCAGTGGGACCAATGTGGTCTCAACCCAACTGGATTTTCTTGACTGTTACAGGTCATGGGCACAAGATGGTGTTGCCACCTTCAGGGCTAGTCTGGAGAAATTCCGTTCCATGCTGTCCTCGAATTAGCCAGCCAGTGAAGATAAGGCCTTAATCTACAAAAAAAAATTGCTATTCATTTCTTTCAGTTACTCACTAAGGTGGTACAAGATCCCTTTGCACACTAAGGTATCTGTACAAGCTCCAGATGCAGAAACTACATGTGAAATTTAGTCCAAGAAGGAGGAGTGCAGTTGTAATGAAATGTACAGAAGGGAGAGTAAATTGTGAAATGCATATAAAGAATTTACATTCTCCCTTGGATAAATAAAATGGATGTTTTTTTTAAGTTGACTAAAATTGCAATGTTTCATGAAGGGTCATCTCCCACTTGGACAAAGCAATAGCTGTGGTAGTGTACTACCTCATTGCTTGGGATCTACGGCCAAAGAGTCCGAATCAAGAAGAACACATAAAGGTAACTGGATTTTAAAAATAATATCTTGATACATTCATAAGCACTATGTTGAAATCTCATTTCATACTAAAATTTGGTCAGAATTGGAGAATATGTGATTCTGCATCAATTTAGATAAAAGCCACACTCTGATGACTTTGTTGTTGCTTGAGATGAACAATCCCAACAACCAATCAGGAGGTTTTACTACAGTGAATTCCATAAAACTTCGTCTTGGATTAAAATATATAGGATTCCAGCATTAAGCTGATTAAAAACAATATTGCATATGAAAAAATAATCTAGTAATCACACAGATGTCTTTCTTGTGGCCTCCCTAAATATGTAGCTTCTGTGGCACCAGAGTATGTTTCAAGAGTTTGGGTTTGTTAAAAAGATGCCAACACAGGACAGTCCTAAATCCTAAATTGCAATTCTAGCTATGTGTCATCAAAAAAGGCCAGTTAATTTATTGAGTCTTATTCCAGGCATCTGCATACATGTATAGTCAAAATATACAACCTTTAATTTTTACGTTAGATTATTTATACTCAAAACGTACATGCCTTAAAGTAAGTTTCACTAAAATATGAATGCTTACTTCTAGGATGCTCTATTAAATTAAATCAAATCTTACTTTATTACGATCATAGGCCAGTATAAAGTGGCTTTATGGATCACATGTGCATAAATGAGAAAATGTTCTGCAATAGCAACTCTTAAGAAAATATTTTAAACATTTCTTTATCTAATTTTAAATGTTTTTTATCATTCTTTATGTCTTAAAAATCAGGAAAAGGCAAAAAAGGTATGAGAAATTTTCTGTGTGTGCTATTATTAGTTTCTTTTTGTGGTTGTAACTTTTGAAATGAACACTATCAAGTCATGTTCGAACCAACATATGTCGAAATTGTAAAGTTCCTCCTACACTGGAAACTTCTGGGAAGGCAAGAAAGTTCCTGTAGTCCACTTAGAGGTTTCCTGCTCAACACTGAAGCCTGCAATACGTGGGAGCTATATCCATTATGTTGAACTGTGCATATAATGACCTATTCCTGCTGTTAGCACTGAATAGAATAGGCACATTTCATTAATGAGCTTTACCTATATGTTGATTCACCACTCAACAATTGATTACAGTTGTATACTCCAATTGGGACGAACTAATGGCTTTCTGGACTCTTCCCTATTATGGGAAATTCCCACAATCCATAAGGTTGTAGTAGATGGGGTTAAGAGTGTGATAGGGCAAAACTTGGAAAAGTTACTTTTGGACTGCAACTCTCAGCTATGCTATTTGTGGTATTCTAGGAGTTGTAGAGTTAAAATAACTTTTCCAGACTCAACATCAGTGGATGGATTTGGTCCAGCTGGCTCTTCCCATTCTCTGTATCATTCTGTTGTTGGCTTATAAGGGGCGAGAAATGCTTGAAGACGCCTGAAAGAACTAATCTTGCCACATACTTCGTGATGATCAGCAAAGCTTAAAATAAATAAGTCAAATTTGAAAGATTACGGAAACTTGGCCAGCTAATTCTGACAACGCTAGCCACCAATATTAATTTTCCTATAAATTCCCTGTTGTTAACATACAAGCCTGATTATTGTTTTGACCGAGGAGAGGAGGGCACAAATCCTAAAAATCTGCTTATACAATTAGCAGTACTGTATGGCCAATAAGTTTACAAATGTTAAAATGCTCACCAATCCAACCCCTGAAAGCAGAGATACTCTTGTGTTGATTGTGGGCAAAGATTATATGGCTACAACACCCACATTTTACAGAAGAAGTAACAACTTCGTAGAGCAACCAGTCCCATCGACAAACAATTTCATTCTTGCAGAGTTAGCAATTCTATAGCAATCTTAGAAAGTACTTCTATTTCCATACACAGAATTCAGGGATTTCACAGGATAAAATGTGTGGAACTTTTTGACCATTATTCTTTCACTAAAAAAGAAAGACATTGGGAATCGTGATTTCAGCACTGCTTTCTTGTTGCATTGCATTGGCAAACAGTTTGAAATAACCAGCACTGTTGTGATTTTCTTTGTTTCTGGCAATGGTCTTTGTGTTTATCTCTAAACTTTTTTTCCCATTAAATGTAGTTTTGCATGTCTCTGAGGATTAATGGTAAATGGAACAGATTACTTAGTTTCCTCTAAATTAGTAATCTGAGATACAGTAGATTGTTTTGTGTTTACGTATTTCAACCTTCAGATATTTTTCCCTACATTTCCGTCCCAAATTAGTTATAGTTAGAGTCACTGAAAGTATTGGAACTGAACTTATTCATGGCTAACTTGAAACTCCACTGATGGCAATAAATCTACTAAAGGTCCTGACCAAAACCACTTACTTTTTCATTCCATGTTTCTATTCACAATCTTCCCTTTTTTCTTCTTCCTTTCCACTTCCTATACTCACATTTGCAAAGTTTGTATTTATAAATAAATAAAGTAGTTTTGATCAGTCTTGTCCCTATTCGTTATTATTTCCCACTGCACAACTTTCAGTTCTCTGTATCACATGTTATCTTTTTTTTTTAATTCGGAAAATTCTATCACATTTATGGGGCAAATCTGTTAACGCCTAGCTTCTAAACCAGATATGGGCAAACTTCGGCCCTCCAGGTGTTTTTATTGGCTGTTAGGAATTGTGGGAGTTGCAGTCCAAAACATCTGGAGGGTTAAAGTTGCCCATGCCTGTTCTAAACTGATACTACAGAGCTTGGAAACGTTTCAAAGCTCTGGCTGCATATTCAAATGTAGTATTTTCCCTTTTTTTCTTTATTGGGAATATTTTTAAGCAGTACGTTATTGTGCTTATAATTGTTTTGTGTGCTTTAGTTATTTACTGCATATATTTTTGAAATGTCCAAAGATGTCATTTTTCAAAGTCATTTTAAATTTCGCAGCATGTAATGAAGGATCTGTTGCTTGTCTAACATAACAGTCAGCATATGAAAAACTTCAATGGCTTCATTTAGATTGCTAACCAAAAGTCACAAAATGGTAGCTCAACAGTAATTTGTCTGTTTTCTCTCTCCTTTACAACAACATTTTTTTAAAAAGGAACAATTAATCATTCCAAAAGTACAAGTAATAAAGGTAATTTTAGCCCATTGTTGTAAAATGCATCCATATAATAATTTTTATAACTGTTAACAAAAACCTTGGGTAGATAATGTGCTTGTGATGCTTTTCTTAAATTTGCATGTTATATCTATCCATACATTTACATGCAGTGGGCCAGGGATATCCCTGTAAAATCCATAATTTTGGACTGTATCTCCTAAAATCTTCTTGTCCATAAAGCGATTTTGCCACCCTCTTTAACATTAAACTATGAAGCAACCCTGTGATTTATGTCAGGTATTAGAAAGGCCAGCATGGTGTGTTTTCTGTGACTACAATGAGAAAAAATACTAATGAAAAGTAGTATTGCTTGAAACTCAGAATGGAAAGTGCCGCATATACTCAAGTATAAGTTGACCCGAATATAAGTTGAGGCACCTAATTTTACCACAAAAAACTGGGAAAATGTATTGACTTGAGTATAAGCCGAGGGTGGGAAATGCAGCAGTGACTGGCCAATTTCAAAATAAAAATAGATACCAATAAAATTACATTAATTGAGGCATCAGTAGGTTAAATGTTTTTGAATATTTACATAAAACTGTAATTTAAGATAAGACTGTCCAACTCTGATTAAACCATTATTCTATCCTTCTTTAATGTAAATATACTTAAGTATCCTTCCAATAATAATAAAGAGAGTAAAATAATAAATGTAATAAAAATAATAATACAGTAAAAACAATGTAAATGTAATAATAACAATAATTGAGCAAAATAATAAATTTAATAAAAATAGTAATAAATAGAGTAAAATCATCAGTGTAATAATAATAGAGTAAAATAATATAAATGTAATAATAATAATAATAATAATAACAGAAAAAAATAATAAATAATTTTGCCTCAAGTGTGGGGTGCTTTTTCAGCCTAAAGACAGGGTTGAAAAACTGTGCTTATTCTCGAGTATATACGGTAGTTCAATATACCTGTGATGGTTTTGATATAGGAACTTTCACAATGAAGGCAACTCAGTTAATATGTTGCATTGTTTATTCTAGGTTATAATCAGCAACACATATGTGAAGAGCAAAACCAGAAGTCCCCTGAATTCTACAGCAGAACAGCCTCTGAGTCAAATGTATACCTGAACACGTTCCATTATCCTGATCATAGTTTCAAGGACCATGCCTTTGACACTCTGAGTTTAGACAGTTCTGACAGCATGGAAACCAGCATATCTGCCTGTTCTCCAGATAATATTTCCAGGTAAATTATTTCAGCAACAAATGCAGGATAGATAATATGTGTGTTATAAGAGAAAGAACCTTTTAATGAAGTTTCTTCAATTGGAAGGGGATGGGTGGGGGGAGGCTCAATCATCCCGTGAGAAACCAGTTTTCAATTTTCCTCACTTTCATGCCAAAGCAGCCATTTCATCAATGAGAAATATTTTTTGTCTCACCTGGCCATTTATAAGAACTATAGCATCTATAAGTGTTTCCCAAGTTTCTGTTTTTCTTTATTCCGCCCATCCTTCTTTCCTTTTTTTCTTCTTTCATATAGATTGTATTCTGGAAGTCACTAATATTTTTTTTTTCACTGACATGGATTAAAATATTTAAATAATATCTATATAAATCAAATTGTAATGCTCGTTTGTGGGATTAACATAACTCAAAAACCACTGGACGAATTGACACCAAATTTGGACACAATATACTATCAGGCCAACAAGTGACCATCACTTATAAAACACTGAAAAACACAGCAGAAGTGTCTTAAAAAGCAAAAAAAAAAAAACACACACACACACACATTACAACGCATGCGCAAAACCACACACACACACAAACGCACATTTATGCACACACAAAACACATATACATAGACTGGGCCACAGCAATGTGTGGCAGGGGACGGCTAGTAGTACATAAAATTCTAATACACAAACTAAGGGGGTGTCCTGAGCTGTTTGTCCTGTTAAACTATTTTGCTTTGCCAGACAAATCATGCTTTGCAATGTGTTTTTTTCTATTTCCCTGGGGAAAAAAACCCTGTCAAATTATTGACAGAAAAAGTTAGAGGTATATTCCCAGTATCGAATTATTTTCTTTATTTTATTCCTTATAGTGCTAGTACATCAAATGTTGCAAGACTAGAAGAGATGGAAAGACTTTTGAAACAAGCTCAAGCTGAAAAGAATCGACTGCTTGAATCCAGGGTAATGTATCTATAAATGAAAGTGTACCTGTCTGTTTTCACTTTCAAACGTAAAACCTAAAACCACATGCTATATCAATCCCAAGTGTGCATCTCTGGGTTATTATTTCAAAAATAAATTATCTTTAATGTAAATTGTTCATAGCCTGCACTATCTCATTGAGTCACTGGGTGGCACAGGGATACATGGAGACATACGATGAACTCTTTCTGAAAAAATGTTCTGATGAAATCGTGTTCAAGACTAAAAGGTCTGCTTAAGGAAGGAGCCTTGACATTTAGCTTGAAGTTTATTGAATTGGGTCTATAAGAAACCACCCTTCATTCATGTTTTCTCTCTACTGTCAGAGGATCACAAATGCCAGTGCTGCCTAACCCATCTTGCCTGTTCCTTCATTATCTGGAAAAGTTGTTTCATTTTATAGAACACTTGTCAGATGTTGTCAGTGTTGCTTTGAGCACAACTTTAACATGGATAAGCACATGCATCTAGGATGAGCCCTGAAACTGAGCAGGAAGGCAAACAATTATTTTAGCCAAATGACCTACTAAACCCAAGCAGTGGTTTCAGTCCAACCTACTCACAGCACTGGCCGAGATAGATTTATTACAAGTTTATTACAAGCACCAGAACTTCAGAGTTAAGCAGATAATAACAAAGTGCACATGAGTAATATTTAATGCATATATGGTAAACTTATCCTGTGACTCACACATAATGCTTGTTTGTTGTTTGAAAGTATTATCTCAGGGTCTGGCACTGTATGCAGCCATAACTTCTGGTTGTTGGCCCTGGGCACACAACGCTGCACCTTTTGACATCTGTTTCAATATACGTTGGCGATTCCTGTTCACAAATGTATAGGCACAAAAATCTTAACAAAAATTCAAAGGAACGAAAAACTTTCAAATTGGATCAATCACATTAAACATTTCTGTTCAATGTTTATTGCGTGCCAGGACCTCAACATTTTATATATAATGGTCCTGTTATTAAATAACAGTCATATTGTAAGACCATCTCTAATTCATACAAAAGAAAAAAAACGGACTACTGAATGTTAAAAGTTGACAAGGAGCATAACATTTCTAGTAGATTTGTGACTTGAATTCTAATATTAAAATTAGCATTCTTGAAAGTTTAATTTTAAGACTGGTTTCGTAGAAGAGAAGTTATATAATAATAATAATCATCATCATCATCATCTTTATTTATATCCCGCCCCCTCTCCACAAGGACTCAGGGTGGCTTACACCAAAATCAATATAATACATACAAAGTGAAAATCAAAAAGCAATACATCAAATGTAAACAATCATCATCTTCCATGAGCACAAAAGACACAATTATTAAACATCTTCACCCTAATATGAGGCAGTACAAATCTGAATTTCAGAGTTCCATGCTGATGTATGAATTTATTCAGTTCTGGACAATTTTGTTAAAAAGGAGCTTTGTTATGGTCCTTACAGGAACGAGAAATGGAAGCTAAAAAAAGAGCATTAGAAGATGAAAAGCGTCGCAGAGAGCAGCTTGAGAAAAGACTGCAAGAAGAAACCAGCCAGCGACAAAAACTCATTGAAAAGGAAGTTAAGATTCGTGAAAAACAACGACATCAGGTATGTGATCATTTTCATGGCTTATGGCAGAAATAGTAAAGAACTAGCTTTAGGCAAGGCTGGACTACTCTTCAACCTAATTAGGGTCATGCCCCCCATACTGGGTGTCCCCCTTTCACAGAGCATGTTTCCCCATCCTTTCTCTTTCTGCTTTACACACACACACACACACACACACACACACTAATTACCCTTTTGTGCTCTTCCCATTAATGCCATGAGCTCATGTGCTATTCAGCTGTTTGCAAAAAACTGTTGCACATGAGGACAATACCTGTAGCCATTCCTTCCCATCATTCTCCCCAAGAAGTTATTACCTCACTTGCGGAAGAGCTGAGCATGACATTGCAAGAGACATCTTTAAAGTATATTGCCATTACACCAGTAAAAGCCTCCTAAACTTGCGTGCAGTGTGTGAATTGCTTCCATGTGCTGTGAGTTTGAAATACTTTTATAGAACATTGGGGCTGCGGTAGGTTGGGACCTACAGTGGTAGAACAGTGGGTTAAACCGCTAACTGCAGAAAGCTTGCTGACTGGAATGTTGGCAGTTCGAAGCTGCAGGTCGGGGTGAGCTCCCGCTGTTAGCGCTAGCTTCTGCCAACCTAGCAGATCGAAAACATGCAATGTGAGTAGATCAATAAGTACCGCCTTGGCGGAAAGATAAAAAGTTCTTATGCAGCCTTGCCAGCAACACAACTAGGAGGGTCTATGGACAACAGGCTCCTCAGCATGGAAAATGGAACAAGAGCACCTCCCCATGGCCAGAGTTGAAATATCGCCTCCAGATGCCAGAGATGGAAAGGGAAACTTTTGCCTTTGTTTGTGTATTGTATGTCATTGTTGTTCGCTGTATAAAAGGCATTGAATGTTTGCCTGTATATGTGTATACTGTACAGGGGGGAAGAGCGGAATATAAATAAAGTTATTATTATTATTATTATTATTATTATTATTATTATTATTATGTCAGTATGACAAAGCAAATGAGATATATATGCTGGAAGAATTATTATCATCATCATTATCTTTAGTGAAGCCCTGTCTTAATGCTCAAGTTGCATGCTTACAGCCATATGGCATCTCTCCCTTTCTGAATATCCTAAAATAATGCAGAAAATCTCCATAACCTCCCTTCCAGCAGTGGAAAAGCTAGTTGTACATATAGTGTGGCTTATATTAATTTATAATTATCCAGGACAGCAACATAAAAAGATGTCACACTACAGCTGGTCAAAGTGTAGTGAATCAGAGGTAAAACAATGGCATAAATCAGTGCAATAAAACAAAGATTTTCATATTCAGTCATATTTATAGTATGACAAATGACTGGAATATTTGGCAAAGATTTGGCAGTGCAGCATGAATGCTTCTATTAGAACGATGCAGCAATTGTTTTTCAGTTGTAAACACTGAGTAAATAGAGCTTCAGTTCAATGGTTATGAAAGCTGGGCTGACCTTTCACATTGCAATCCTGTAAGCTCGAGATATTGGACATTAGACTGTCTACATGATGATAGATGTTGTGATGCTTGATAGAAAATGCAGTCATCTGAATGTAATAAAAATGAAATCTATAATTGTACAATTGTAGGCACGCCAACTAAATTAAATGTGTAGATGTTGAGATACAACTGAAAGAAAGATCTATTTTAAAGAGTTGACAGGAATGCAGTTTCAAAGAATTCTGTAGAACAAAAGGACATGGGTAATTTTTTTTTTCTAAAATGCTTGCCGGTGCTCTGTACAGCCATTCATAATCTATTTGCATCACTTAGCATTTGATAACTGCCTCAGGTAGAAAGGTTTGTGGTGATGTTAGATGTTTGTGATGCTTCTTTTCATTATTTGGGGAAGTTACCTTTTTAGTAACACTTCCCAGAGGCCAAGTTGTCCAGGGGATTCTGGAAATTATCTGATTTTTCACAAACCTATTTATTTCTTTATTCCATTTATACCCTGCCCTTCTCACCCCAAGGGGAACTCAGAGTGGCTTACATAATTTGGCACAATTTGATGCCACAGTTCAACAATATATCTGATATACAACAAAGCAAAATACAAACAATAAAACATATAAACATAATAAGACTTTAAAACGTAATGCATAGTCCTGCCGCCATCATTAATATTGTTTTGCCAAGTTCATATTGCACTAGCCAAATGCCTGAGTGCATAACCATGCTTCTATCCATTTTCTAAAGGCCAATTGCAAGTCATAGCTTATTGGGTTTTGCTTTTTTAATCAACTGCATCAAAACTACTGCAAAAAGAACATTTTAAAATTCTCTACCAACTTGCTAAAATCCATTGATCCTGGGAATGTGTTTAATAGCCCTTGAGTGTTTCAGTCACTGTGTTAGAAAGTTGACTTAAACTAGTCGCTAAAATGTTGCAGTGAGACATGCCATCTTAGTTTGACCCTGATGTATTTTTTAAAAAGTCCCTGAAATAAACAAAAATATTTCAGCTTTTGCCAACATACATATATCAGAGAAATTGCTCCTTTACACATTCCTACACAATGCAAAGAACGAAAGAAAATTTCATGCTGGGTATTTTGTTTCAGATGAGAAACGAATCATTGATAGAAACATATATTTACATTTTTTTCTAATTAGTCTCGGCCCTTGACTCGTTACTTGCCAGTCAGAAAGGAGGATTTTGATCTACGCAGCCACATAGAGACAGCTGGCCACAACATAGAGACCTGTTACCATGTTTCACTTACTGAGAAGACCTGCCGAGGGTTTCTTATTAAGATGGGAGGCAAAATCAAAACATGGAAAAAGCGATGGTTTGTGTTTGACAGAAACAAGAGAACATTTTCTTATTATGCAGGTGAGTTGTACATTCTGCTTTGATGGACATTTTGAAATGTATCAGTTGTGTTGTATCAGTTCTGCAATGTGTAATTTCAGTTTTGTCTCTCTGTTTTCCAAGTATTGTCCGTTCATATATTGTTTTGTACACTCAGAATTCTCTAATCCTCCAATTCGCAAAGGGCTCATCTACATGTTATGTTTATATACCTGTGGAATCGTCCCGGGTGGGAGAAAGAACTCTTGTCTGCTTGAGGCAAGTGTGAATACTGAAATTGGCATTTAATGGCCTTGCGGCTTCAAACCCTGACTGATTGCTGGCTGGGGGAAACCCTGACTGATTGCTGCCTTGTTTAGAGGTGTAGCTGGCCCTGATTGATTATTGTCTGGAATTCCCCTGCTTTTTGAGTGTTGCTCTTTATTTACTGTCCTGATTATAGAGTTTTTTATATACTGGTAGTCAGATTTTGTTCATTTTCATGTTTTCCTCCTTTCTGTTGAAATTGTCCACATACTTGTGGATTTCAGTAGCTTCTCTGTATATACAAATGTGGCTAGAGGTAGTGGTTAGAGTAGTGAGCTGTTCAGTGGAGAGCTGTTGAAATCCAAAAACCAATTGCAACATTTAGACTGGCCTCAAGCAGACAAGAGTTCTTTCTCCACCTGGGACATTCCACAGATAGATAAACCTCACTTACCTAGTTTCCAGCAGACCTCACAACCTCTGGGGATGCCAGTCATAGATGTGGGTGAAACGTTAGGAGAGAATGCTTCTGGAACATGGGAAAACTCACAGCAATCTTGTAAACTGTATGGGATTTCTGGGAGCGGAAGTCCTAAACACCTGGAGGAGCACAGTTTGAGAAACACTATGCTAGAGCCTGCCAAAAATGAGAAGAGCAACAGGACTATGGATGAAGAGACAGGAGAATCCACAGCTGTGTTATCCTCTGCCACAGTAGGGAACTGAAGAAGTTTATATGGTCCTTATCTTGCAGAAAGTCCATAAAAATAATCCTGCTTTTCATTAACCTAAGATCATCCATTCCCTCGTGAGCAATATTTTAATTCACTCTTGACAGTAGCACTTGCCAAACTAGAAAAGCAGAACTACATCCATGGATGTTCCAGAGACCCTGGAATTCTTTATAGCCTTTTGGAACCACCTGTGGCCTGTTCCTTCCAAAATCTGCTTTTCTCAGGTGTGGACAAAAGAAATTGTCTAAATATGGCAGCATTTTTTGTCCTGCTTTAGAGAGAGAATCCAGATAAGTACTCTGCTTCTCTTTCCAAGTAATCTATGGATCCTGTACATGCTAAATTAGAATAATATAATACGTATAATACGTATGTATAATACCAATGAAAGAAGTCGATGTTCTCCTAGAATAATGGCTAAATGAACATGTTATTCCTCTTTTCATTTTATTCCTGGGGGAAAGACATATTGTTAAAATTAATCCTTTAATCCCTGTGGTGGAGTTTTCATCTCAATCCAGTTTCTTTCTCTTGTTGCAGACAAACATGAAACTAAATTAAAAGGAGTAATTTATTTTCAAGCCATTGAAGAAGTCTATTACGACCATCTAAAAAATGCTTATAAGGTAAGAAAAATCCTTTTTATCCCATATATACTAATTTTATTTCATTTTGTAAATTTTATAGATACTTATATCACTGTTTTTTATATGTTGATACTTTATACTGGGCTGAAGTAGGCTATAAAGAAATTACGGATGAGAAGCACACATCTCTGATGGGATAAGAAGGAACTATATGGTCAGAAACTGGCCTCTAAGGGCACTGCCAGACTGTGCCAAAATCCATATTTTAAAAGTGGGTTTAAAAATCCCAGGACCTGACAGCAGACCTGTCAGTCCCAGAAAATGTTCCCCCGCCATCCACGCTGTCTTCTTTTGAAGTGGATCAAGATACAGGATAGATGGAAGATATCTGGTGGAAGTTTTTTAAAAAAAACTAAAATTCGCTTCAATATGTGCTGGACCTTACATGTGCACATGCAAATATCTTAATATAAATATAAGCAGATTTGCATATGAGGTCCAGCGCATAACGGAATGAATTCTGTTGGACCTCTCTCTTCCACCAATTGTTAATTCAACCTCTGTTTAAGATTATAAAGTGTAAAAGAAAGTTTTAGAGAGTTCTGATTGCTCCATTGGTGCTTCCCTTGAACCACCTGTGTGTCCGTTTGACAAATCGATCAGTTGTTTCAGGTTTTTTAAAAGTGCGTGTGCTCTGGAGCATCTATACAGGGTGGGAGAGAAGGAAAAACTTTTTTGTTTTTGTTTTTTGGGGGTTTTTTGTTTGTTTTGTTTTGCATAACATCCATAACAGCAGAAATCATTCCTCCAGTGTTCCATTGAATTTTTCATATGTTACACTGAACACATACGTGAGGTGGGGGAGGGGGAGCTGCCTTTTCTACCCTGTGTGATAGTCAGTAGAAAAAAAAAATGTGTGCAGAGTTGTACTTTCCAAAAGTACAGAGAATATGAGCCATCCTGCTTAACTTGCCCAAGAGATCAAATTGTGTGTTTTTCTTTTTTTATAGAGTCCTAATCCATTGCTTACCTTCAGTGTTAAGACTCATGACAGAATATATTACATGGTAGCCCCAACACCAGAAGCTATGCGGATATGGATGGACGTAATCGTGACCGGAGCAGAAGGCTACACCCACTTCATGTTGTAGAAAATGGTGCAAAAGTCCATTGGCAGGGCATAATGCAATAACAGCCTCAAATCTGGGGATGCAAGCCATATTCTGTCACATTTGATGAGCATCACAAAATAGCAAGAACGCACAGATCTACATACCTTTGTGCTCTAAAATGAAACCCATGCTGTGTAAGGCAGAATTAATTCTTAGATATGTTAATCACTGTCATAGCAGAAGAAAAGAAAAGCTGCTTAAAAGATTGTGGTGCTCCAAAATGGATAATCAGATTGCCATAAGCCTGTCCCAGCAGATTCTATGGCATTTCCCTGCAGATTTTATCATGCAGAACTTTCTTAATAAAAAACTTTGTTTGAACCTTGTTGGTATATTTCCAGTATTTCAAAATTAAGAAGAAAAAGGGAAAGTTATGAAGGTTAATTTTTTAATGTATGGGATTTCTATACAATTTTAATTTTATAAGTATTTTATAACACATTTTAAACTACAATGTGTGGTGTTTCTGTTTTAATTTACTAGATCACCAAAGATTCATACTATTACAATGAGATTTAGCATCTGCGCAATGAGGGTTTTAAAATCTTTCAATCTTTCAAATCTTTCGTAATGAAGTCTCAAAAAAATATTACCGTTCACTTTTTAATTTGCAAATACTGGACACAAGCTATGAGTATGCTTCAAATATGCATGTGAAAGAACTTTCAAAACATTCTTGAAACATTTCAAAAACCTTCTTCCAAGAACAATATCAAATGATATTTTTATCGTCATACTCATTTTGTAATTATTTCGTTCTATTGGTTAATTTCTTCGAAAATGAAAACCACCTGCTTTATCCACAGCATTATTCCTTCATTTCTAGCAGATACTAGAATATCTAGATCCCATATAAGACATACATAATAGGGTAGAAATGGGGGAAGGAAAAGCTATGAAGTCCCATAGAAGCTCCTCAAAAACTCAATCCTTCCACGTCAAGACTATGGCTGGTTCTACACTGTCATGCAATGCAGTTTGAACTGCTTTATATGGTTCTACACTGATCATATTAAGTACTTTAATCAACCTCAGTAAGATTTTAGTGAAACAGAATACTCTTATCAGACATAAGTTGATTTAGGCCGCCCGCACCTTACACTGCCATATAATTTCACTTGAAACTGCATTATACGTCTATAGTCACTATAGACTCATGTAGTGCAGTTTAACTCAACTGAACTGCATTATATGAGTCTACACTGACCATATAATACAGTCTCAAATTGCATTATATGGCGGTGTAAATGGCGCCTTAGATACAAGACATTGGGAGAATTTACTTACAATCAGATTTTTTTTTCATGTCAAGAGCAACTTGAGAAACTGCAAGTCACTTCTGGTGAAAGAGAATTTGCCATCTGCAAGGATGTTGCCCAGGGGATGCCCGGATGTTTTATTTTCCTGTGGGAGGCTTCTCCCATGTTCTGGCATGGGAAGCTGGAGCTGACCGACAGGAGCTCACCCCACTCCGCAGATTTGAACCACCGACTTTTTAACCTCAGTTCAGCTGGCACAAGGTTTTAACCCATTGCACCACTGGAGACACTCTTATTATCAGATGAGACTAGCCTTCAAGGAAAGTCCTTCATTCTATCCAAAATTGAGCATGTATTTGATGATAGATGCACTAGGGTCATTTCTTTCTTAGCCCCTCTCCCCATCCCCTTACCTCCAGTGGAAGTAACTGCAGTTTGGTGGATTCAACTGAACAGGAGCGTTATAAACAAAGCATCACCAACAGCTAACTCACCTGCCCACCCTTCTCAGAGTTGTCTTTGTCATTCCACATTCAAAGGTGCCAACACAGCAATTTTCATATTCTTAAGTCATCTGATTTGAAGTTGTGCCTTATGTTACTCTGAACAAATACGATACTTCTCAAATGTATTTCCAAAAGCTTTCTTCTGTAATAAATCTTCCAATATGGATACTCAACTTTTGTAAGGGTTAAGGGCAAAGGACCCCCATGAAAGATGGAAAACCACAAATTAAAAATGTTATTTTTTGAAATCTGAGAGAACACTTGTCTAGGAATGTCTAGTTCTTCCAGAACAACTCTGTGGACACCTTCAGACAGAGGTGGTCCATAGAATTACCATAAGAGGACCTAGAGAGAAATCTGCACATAATCAAATCTACAATAGTTAAACCTGCAAATGTGGAAGGCTGATTGGAATATAAATATATTATTTTCCTACCAGCTAGATAAAGTATATATTACTTTTGATTTCCCTGGTTATCAAATAAATGATGCAAGAGGTGATCACCTATTTTGCATATAAAAGGTCCCAAGTTCAAGCCCAGGCACTTTTTTTTAACAAAGAGATAAAGAAAGGCTTAAATCCTCAAGTCAGAATAGACAGTGCTGGACAGAAATGAATAAGAAAATAAACCTGACAACAGTGGGAAGCAACTTTTCAGATCCAGTGGATCAGTTCCAGTTTGATGGTCTTGGGGTGGCAACCCACCAACAGTCCAGAGTGTTTGATGTTTTCATGCAATGGATTGCCATACCTCTCTTGTAAAGATTATATATTTCTTAAGAGATTTTTTTCCAATTTAAAATGCCTCTGTAGTCTTGGATATTGTATTCAGATGATTGAATTTTGAACTTCAGGTCTGTGTTTGATATCCTCTTTTAATAATTGGATTTTGTGCCATATGTTTTTCTCAATGCAATAAACTAAAAATGTTTCTGTTTCTAAAACATATAAATATTAAATCACATTTTCTGAAATGGCTGTAATCCTAAAGTATATTCTGTGTGAAGAGAGCTGGATTTTTTTAATGTCACAGTGTGGCAGTAGCGTAGTTGTAAGAGTTCACAGTCCTAAATGTATTTGCTTGAATGTGACTCTAATTTAAAAAAATACTTCTAAGTGTGATTACGATCTGCATTTAAAAGGTATATTCACTTAAAATCAGTAAACTACTTTATAGTAGATGATTTTAAGATTGTGTAACAAAATTTGAGCCAATTAAAACTTACATCTGATTTGTCATGAATGAAATCTGGCAGAAGATGAAACGAGGCAGAGACAATGGATTGGATTTATGACCTTGCATAACTTATGCCCCATTGACTTCAGTGGGTCAATCTGTGACTACATCTGGATCTCGCTGATTGTAAAAGAACTAATTTGCTTTAGAGATTTGATTGTAATTGCAGTGTCTGGGAAAAAAGGCAAAACACGAATGGGTTTGGTTTATATACTTTCTATCATGTATTTTGAATATCTGTACAATTTTACAGGTTTTCTATTTGTTTTGTATCTTGCATGTTGTAATAAAATCTAAACAAATGTTCAATAGTAGCTTTTCAAACAATGTGTCTGATTTCTCACTAACAGATTGTGTTATCATTGTACACTTTAATCTGACTTCAAACCAGCCCATTCTTTACAAGTTGCATCTAGCTCGGGCATTGGCAAACTTCGGCCCCCCGGGTTTTTTGAACTTCAACTCCCACAATTCCTAACAGCCTACCAGCTGGGTTGTTGTAGGTACGACGCCTACCAGCTGTTAGGAATTGTGGGAGTTGAAGTCCAAAGCAGGCTGAAGAGATGAAGTTTGCCCATGCCTTATCTATCTCCATTAAAGATGGGGACTGATGACCACTGTGTGCAACTATTCCAAAATCCATGGGGAGAAAACTCTGAAAATCGAAAACACTTGAGTAGTAAATCCATTTGTTAGATGTATGTGTGTTCTCTTGTGATTGTATGTTCAAGTTGCTTATTCATTTATGGCATCCCCATCAATTTCATAGGCTAAGAGAATCCTGACTGGTTTTCCATCTCCTTCCTCTAAAACAGGGGTCCTCAAACGTTTTAAACAGAGGGCCAGATCACAGTCTCTCAAACTGTTGGAGGGCCGGATTATAATTTGAAAAAAAATATGAATTCCTATGCACACTGCACATATCTTATTTGTAGTGCAAAAAAACACTTTAAAACAATAATTAAAATGAACAATTTTAATAAATATAAGCTTATTAGTATTTCAATGGGAAGTGTGGGCCTGCTTTTGGCTGATGAGATAGATTGTTGTTGTGTGCTTTCAAGTAGTTTCAGACTTAGGTTGACCCTGAGCGAGGGCCGGGTAAATGACCTTGGAGGGCCGTATCCAGCCCCCAGGCCTTAGTTTGAGGACCCCTGCTCTAAAATATAACCTACACCTGGTAGTCACTGGTGGTCTCCTATCCAAGTATTTATCAGAGTTGGCTTTGTTTAGCTTTAAAGATCAGACGGGACCAACCTGAGTCCTAACAGAGGAGAGGGCAGCATAGAAATAAAGTTTTATTATTATATTGAAATAGAACAATTTGGACTGGCCACAGATAGTGCAATATGGGCCACAGATAGCAAAACTCAGAGCACAGATATCAATTTCTGTCGCCTGTGGGTCTGTGTGCCTGGTGAGACAAAGAAGCTAACCCAATGTTCTCCAATCAAGAAATCTCATCAAGTTGAAGAAGCCACCAAGGTAATTTTATTTTGATCCAACTAGAAAGGATGACAGCTTGCAGTAAGATGCTAAAGGAAGCTGAGATACCATACAGAGCAAAAACAAGCATTTTTATACAATCAAAACCTTTGTATTTCCCGACCCAACTGTGGCCGGCTTGCCGTTGATTGGTGGAGCCCCGTTGATGTCACAGCCGGCTGGGGAGGATTCCCTTGGAGAGGTGGGATTGCAGCACCTGTCAGCCAATCGGAAAGCATTCCCCACTTCTGATGCAGATGCAGAGGATGGTCCAGGAGACAAAGGAATGTAAAGTATTTTGAATGGATGGCCATAAGACACCTACTAACCCAAGGAGTGACCATCAGTTAAAAAAAAATGATTTTGTCATTTGGGAGTTGTAGTTGCTGGGATTTATAGTTCACCTACAATCAAAGAGCATTCTGAACTCCACCAATGATGGAATTGAGCCAAACTTGGCAACAGGATTCCCATGACCAACAGAAAACACTAGAAGGGTTTATTGTAGAAGGCTTTCATGGCTGGAATCACTAGGTTCTTCTGGGGTTTTTTCGGGCTATAGGGCCATGTTCTAGAGGCATTTTCTCCTGACGTTTCGCCTGCATCTATGGCAAACATCCTCAGAGGTAGTGAGGTCTGTTGGAATTAGGACAATAGGTTTATATATCTGTGGAATGGCTGGGGTGGAGCAAAGAGCTCGTCTCTGCTGCAGCTAGGTGTGAATGTTTCAACTGACCACTTTCATTAGCATTTGAAGGCCTGACTGAGCCTGGGAAAATCTTTTGTTGAGAGGTGTTAAGCTGGGCAGAAGGGTTTGCTGGGCAGTAACCTTGAGTTTGGGAGTTGTAGTTCAATTACATCCAGAGAGCATTGTGGACTCAAACAATGAAGGATCTAGACTAAACTTCGCACAAATACTCCATAGGCCCAAATATGAACACAGAAGGAGTTTGGGGGAAATAGACCTTGACATTTGGAAGTTGTAGTTACTGGGATTTATAGTTCACCTACAATCAAAGAGCATTCTGAAAAGGTAGGTACTTTGCAAGTCTCATCATCTCTCACAGTAGGCCTGGAGGGCCAAAGTTTGCTCATGTTTGCTCTAGCCATTTTTGCCCCAAAAGACAATAGTGGGGGGAGGGAGTGGCAAAAACAACCCGGAAGCTCCATCGTAAGGCAAGAAGTCGTCGCTCTATCGTTGAATTATTTATGTTCCTCTTCGAGACTTCTCTCCCGTAGAGATAAAAGGTAAAGAGCAATGCCTAGAGCGGGCAGTTTCCGGCGCCTGCGCAGTGACAATTTCCTCCTCCTCCTCCCAGCGAACCCGGCGCATGCTCAGTGGCTCACGGAGCGGCCAAGGAGAGGGGTGTGTTGCTGCGGGGTTCTGGCGGATGGCGCTCTCTGGGGCCACGAGACTGCTGTGGCGGGAGAGGCTGCGCTGGGGGCCGGCCGTCTCTCGGCTGGGTGAGTGACTGAGCGAGTGGGGCGCCTCCCTGTGCCTTTTGCCAGAGGTCCAAGACAACTAGTGCCTCTACAGCAGGCCTGGGCAAACTTGGGCCTTCCAGGTGTTTTGGACTTCAACTCCCAGCATTCCTTTCAGGGCCTGAGGCTGTTAGGAATGCTGGGAGTTGAAGTCCAAAACACCTGGAAGGCCCAAGTTTGCCCAGGCCTGCTGTAGAGGCACCTGGAGCCTTCTACTTCTGAACCAACCTTTCCATTGATCCTCCCCCTTTCCTTAATTTTAAAGGAAGGTAAAACTTGGAATCAGATCCTGGGATATAGGGCCTGTCTGGAAGGGTCCTGAGTGAAGATACAGAATGGGGGACGCCTGGCTCGGGAGCAGTACATGTGAAAAAGATCTTGAGGTCCTCGTGGACAACAAGTTAAACATGAGCCAACAATGTGATGCGGTGGCAAAAAAAAAGCCAATGGGATTTTGGCCTGCATCAGTAGGAGTATAGGGTCTAGATCCCTCTATTCTGCCTTGGTTAGACCACTCCTGGAATATTGTATCTAATTCTGTGCACCATCATTGAAGAGAGATATTGACAAGCTGGAATGTGTCCAGAGGAAGGTGACTAAAATGATCAAGGTCTGGAGAACAAGCCCTATGAGGAGCGGCTTAAAGAGCTGGGCATGTTTAGCCTGAAGAAGGCTGAGAGGAGACATGATAGCCATGTATAAATATGTGAGTCATAGGGAGGAGGGAGCAAGGCTGTTTTCTGCTGCCCTGGAGAATAGGACACAGAACAATGGCTTCAAACTCCAAGAAAGGAGATTCCATCTGAACATTAGGAAGAACTTCCTGACTGTGAGAGCCGTTCAGCAGTGGAACTCTCTGCTCCAGAGTGTGGTATAGGCTCCTTCTTTGGAAGCTTTTAAACAGAGGCTGGATGGCTGTCTGTCGGGGGTGCTTTGAATGCAATTTGAATGAGTCCCCCACAGGGGTGAGAAAGGTGGTATGTAAATACTGTAAATAAATAATAAAATTTTCTACTTCTTGGCGGGGGTTTGGACTGGATGGCCCACAAGGTCTCTTCCAACTCTATGATTCTATGAAGACATTGCAGGACTTCCTAATGGCAGCAGTCACACTTGTTTCAAACAGTCAAGGGTTCCTTCTCCCACCCTGGACATCTCACACACACTTATATACACACACATCCCCATCAACTCCACTGGACTGGCCATGTTGTCCAAATGCCTGATCACTGCTTCCCAAAGCAGTTGCTATACTCCCAACTCAAGAATATTGGTGGACAGGAAAGGATATTTAAAAATGGGCTTAAAGCCAACCTCAAAAACTGTGGCATAGACACAGAGAACTGGGAAGCCCTGGTCCTTGAGTGCTCTAATTGGAGGTCAGCTGTAACCAGCAGTGCTGCAGAATTCAAAGACGCACGAATGGAGGAACTGATGTCCTCACTGTGGGAAAATAAGAGAGATTAGTTCCTGCACTACAAAGGAGAAGAGAAGTTTGATATGCTCTAGCAATGTTTTTATTTAAAATTAGCAGTATGCATTTACGATATGAAACAACCAGGTATTTTAAGCCCTGTGTAAGTAAACAAAAACACTTTGAACCTTCTGAAGAATGATAAAATCATAGAGTTGGAAGAGACCTCATGGGCCATCCAGTTCAATTCCCTGCAAAGAAGCAGAAAACTCGCATTCAGAGCAGCCCCAACAGATGGCCATCCAGCCTCTATTTAAAAGCCTCCAAAGGGGCCTCTACCACACTCTGGGGCAGAAAGTTCCACTGTTGAACAACTCTCACAGTTAGGAAATTTTTCCTCATGCTCAGGTGGAATCGCCTTTCCTGTAATTTGAAGCCCTTGTTCCGCATCCTAATCTCCAGGGCAGCAGAAAACAAGTTTGCTCCCTCCTCCCTCACGTATTTATGCATGTCTGCCAAGTTTCCTCGGCAGGCTAAACATGCCCAGCTTTTTAAGCCTCTCCTCATAGGACTTGTTCTCCAGACCCTTTGATCATTTTAGTCACCTCCCTCTGGACACATTCCAGCTTGTCAACATCTCCCTTCAATTGCAGTGCCCAGAATTGGACACAGTATTCTAGGTGTGGTCTGACCAAGGCAGAATAGAGGGGAAGCATGACTTCCCTGGATATAAACAGTATAGTCTTATTGATGCAGGCCAAAATCCCATTGGCTTTTTTTGCCGCTGCATGACACTTGAAAGTTTCTTCCAGAATGTAGCCAACGATGATTTATTTTCTTTCTCTACTTTTCAGTTTTACCATTTTTGCTGATGTCGTTTAACATACTTAGTGATGCAGATATATTCACTTTCCATTGCTTTGCTGTTTGTGCATGCTCAGTAAGAGATTCTGGAGGCAGTTGCTCTGTTTTAGGCAGATACATACAACAACAATTGGATCAACTAGAGTGGAATCCCATTATTTACCAGCTCCAGCTTTACTGTATTAACTGCTGACATGACTCTGCAACCCAGCAGTGACAGTCCGTATTGGTCCAGCCCTTTCCCCTCATCTTCCTACTCTTGTTGCTGGTAAAACATGTAGAGCTAGATGGAGAATGGGGAGGAAAACTAACATATTTGTTAACTTCGGTAGACCTGTAATTTGTTTCAACAATATCCGCAGTAAAAATGTAAAAGTTCAATTTTTTTTGTGTGCGTAGGTTGCAGACAAAAATCATCTCCCAGTTTCCTTAACCGGACAGATCTTCCAAAACTCGCCTATCATAAACTAAAAGGAAAGAACCCTGGAGTTGTCTTCCTCCCAGGCCTTTTTTCAAACATGAATGGTGAAAAAGCAATTGCACTGGAAGACTACTGTAAATCAGTTGGCCATGCTTTTGTCAGGTATGTTATAACAGAACAGACTTGTGCTTAGTGTGACACATATATTTCATTCCATTATTTTAAATGTTCTGTTCATGTTGTCAGTGAATTATGTTTATTTTTATTGACATGTTTATTGCATTTACATCCCATCTCTCTCCTTATTCAGAACCTAAAATTATCTTCTTCTTTTTTTAAAAAAAAAAGAAAAACAAAAATAAAAAACAAGATACAGTAGAGTCTCGCTTATCCAACCTTCACTCATCCAACATACTGTATTATCCAACACAATCTGCCTCCTGCCTGGATCCACAGCTGTTTAAATACATTGCAATGTTTCGGTGCTCAATTCGTAAATACAGTAATGACTACATCACATTATCGTATATTGAACTGCTTTTTCTATCAATTTGTTTTAAAACATGATGTTTTGGTGCTTAATTTGTAAAATCATAATGTAATTTGACGTTTAATAGGCTTTTCCTTAATACCTCCTTATTATCCAACATTTTCACTTATCTAACATTCTACTGGCCCATTTATGTTGAATAAGTGAGACTCTACAACTAAAATATTATGTTCGCAAAGGTTTTACAAAAATTAACTAACTGCAATTAAAAACATGATTAAAACAATATCAAAGTATTATTATTTACTGTTAAAACTATCTTGTTGCAGGCATCTTTCCAAGCTGTTTGTATATGGTAATCTTGGTCATTGCTGATTATACAAAGCTATGTTTTCATTTTTATTCCTCCACAGGTTTGATTACAGAGGTTGCGGAGGTTCAGATGGCAGTACTAAAGAAAGTACATTGGGAAAGTGGCGGAAGGATGTTCTGTCCATACTGGATGAACTCACACAAGGGCCACAGGTTGATTGTTCTTGCTTTTTAAATGAAGCAGTTCTTCTCTTATGTTGCACTGTGCTTCTTTTTGTGAATAAAATTGTGGGACATGTCACTATTGCTAGCCTGAAGGAAGCAAACATACCCCTGACTTACGAAATCCTTTGGCAGGAAATTATTTTGCCTGGTTAATAAAGTTTAGCGTTTAGTTGTTGATATTCATCAGACTGTTCTGAAAAACTGTCTTTTAAAGAAAACTTCTTGGAAAATAGAATTGGGCATGGCTGGAAAGTGTAGATCTCCCAAATAACAATGTAAAGAAGTATATACTGGCATTGAATGCAGTAAACATGCACAAGCCCTAAAATATTGGGGAAATTGTATATATTACACTTAGAGGTGAGAGTTACGAAACATTGACTGGTTTGGACTATGGTATCTCAATTTAAAAAGTGGAGAGGGATGAGTGAGCCTCTTGTAACTGTGGCATGTAACTGCTTTTCATTTCAAACAAATAGCCTTCAGCCTAGGAAGCCTTCAATTAACCTATTTTTCATGGCATTGGATCTATGAAAGTTTTGGACAATCTGGCATTTTAAGCCATGAGGATTGTTCATATCATTTGCCATATTCCATATAATCCATTTTAAATCCAGGAAAAGTATTTTGAACAACAGGAAATGAGAAGTCACTCACCTGGCTCAGAAGTGGGGCGGGGGGATTGAGAAATATAAAAATTCAAGAACATTTGGGAGTTTAGGGGGCAAAAAACTATTGGTAAAAATGTCAGATGTTTTGGTCCCTGTGGGGCGAAGGGGATACACTTGGCCCACCTCTGCATGCATAGAAAATGTTTTGTGTGTTTTCCGGTAACACAAAATAGCTAATACTAGTTTCATGTTAAGATTTTAGTTGGCTCCAGCCTGGGTGGATGGCTGATGCTTCATGCTGCAATTGCCCGTCCCGAAAAGGTAGCTGCATTAGTTGGAGTAGCTGTAGCAGCAGACCATTTAGTAGCAACTTTTCAGCAGCTTTCTGTAGAGGTAAGAGGAAATGCTGGCTTTGCTGATCCAAAACATATACGTGGTGTCTTTGTACTATAGAACTCCCATGTTGCAGAGGACTATTGTTGACAGATAATCCACATCAGCTGGAAAAAGGAGCTGTCTTAAGATCATTTTACTTTTGACCTTTGTCAAGATGAGGGTGGGCAGCCAACATGACATCTGTTAACTGTGCCACTCGCTGCCACCAAATTTCAGTAGCAGAAGTCACTAAAACCACCAAAATGAACAATGAAGGTCTCACTGCTTATTTTAAACACTTTCTGGAGGCTTCCTGGAATATCATTATATTCTCCCAGTGGTTTTGAATGAGATCCTGGGTTTCCAGAAACAGGTGAAGGAGACATATATTGTTCATCACAGCTCCTGACACTTCTAGAAGAAGGAAAAAATGTTATTAATGATACTTCTTGTAAACAATAATTCCTAAATTAATTTAGATTAACCAGTTAGAAAGTTGTCATTTTGGTAGGCTATGTTAAGGAATGAATTTATATGACTGGGGAATATGCTTTGAGTTTCTGGCATTAAGAGTTTTATCTATTCTGTTTACTATTTAAATGTAAAAGTAGAGTAAGATCATTCTAGGCTTTCAGATTGTGTTATCAGCATTGAAATGATGCCTGATGTGTATAAATACATTCTCTTACCAGTATAGATGCGCTTCTAGATGGTAATGCATTTCTCCACAAGTTTTTTTATATTGTAGGTATTTCTTAGAGATAACTTGTCATTAGAAACCCAAGTGGCGCAATTAATAGAAAACAACTTTACCAGTTTTGACTCCCTACACTAGCTAGGATCCAACCAGGCTAGCAGACAGGCACAAATGCTCAGTTGTACATATGCTAACTAGAGCTGGATGAACTGAACATTTTAAGGGCGCATTTCAATATAATTTCCTCAGCCATGTAAATGCTATTCCTCAACATACAATCTGCCTCTATAACAACTTTCCAGCTATGTCTCGTGATCCTACAGCTTATCTTTCAGATTTTCCACATAATCAAAGACTTGATAATAAATTTTACATTCATTGCTTTTGAGGCAGATATTAGCAAGATACTGCAATCTTTGTACTGATTAACTATCTAGTGAATTGAAAGCAGATTAAACATTTCGACAGGAGATCTTCTAACCAGGGGTTCACAATCTGTGGGTCCCCAGGTGTTTTGACCTGTGGAATTCCCTCCCTAGGGATATTAGATCAGCCCCTCCCTCTTGACCTTATTTAAGAAAGTAAAAACGTGGCTTTTTGATCAAGCCTTTGAAGAACCTATGCAATAGATAAAATTGGAATGATGTGCAATGACTATTGGAATGGCCCAGATAATGTGGTTGGATAATGTGGTTAACAGTGAAAGCATTGTTTTATATGTTTAAATGCTTTAATGTATTTCTAATGTTATTTAAATGTTCGTTTTAACTGTGCATTGTTTTGGAAGGCATTGTAGGCCACCTTGAGTCCCCTCTGGGGTGGAGAAAGACAGGGTAGCAATGTTGTAAATAAGCAAATAAATTTCTGGGAGTTTGAGTCCAAAACATCTGGGGACCCACAGGTTGAGAACCACTGTCCTAAACTGTGATTCAGTCACATAGCTGCTGACCTAAAGCTGCTTGTAAGAATTATTTAAATAAAATAAAAGCCATATCCATGTACTGTTCTCCAATTCTGAAAAGGAGACATAATTAGTAAATGATGATGTTAACCCCAGTCTTTAGTTTCGTGTTGATAGGAATCTAAGTAATTAGTGATGATGTGTATATGTATCAACATTTGGGCCATTTTGCTTTAGAAAGAATGTAGGTATCAAGGCCTTTCAGTGAGTGGTCTTACAGTCTATCATTCATGTATCTTCCCAGGTCAAAAAAGAAATAGAAGAAAAAGGTGAATGGAGGATGCCAACCAAGCACAACGAAGAGGGGTTTTACTCTGTGCCGTACGAACTCATTCAAGAAGCAGAAAATCACTGTGTTTTGAATAGTCCGCTTCCCATAAAGTGTCCTGTGCGACTCATTCATGGCCTGAAGGATGATGATGTGCCATGGCAGATCTCCATGAAAATTGCTGAGTGTGTTGTTGGCGGAGATGTGGATGTTATTCTCCGCAAAGGTGGTAGTCATCGGATGAAGGAGAAGGAGGACATCAAGCTTATTGTATACACTGTGGAAGACTTGATTGAGCAATTGAGCACCTAGCATCAGGAGCACAGGGTTGAAACGTTTCAGTCTGGAAGAAAATCAGTTCAGAGCATGACTCTTCAACTAGAGAGATCTGGAGCTTTAAAAATATTTTCTTACCCTTTAAAATTTGTTGGTAAATACAGCTATCTTCTTAATGCTGCATTTGCACAAATACAAAATGTGAAGGCAAGCTGCTGTTTAATCCTTTAATGCCCAAAACAAATCACCATTGACCTTTATGCAATATGCATCTTACCTTTTCATACCCAGGTATATGTGTGCCAATAATTTCTGCCTTTTACCTTGTAATACAATGTGACTTTTCCATCCCTTTTTTACACCTTTAATAAATATGCATAATAATACTTTTTCTGCTTCAGTTGTGAAATGCAACCTAAAAGTCCCTAAAATGTATCCAAATTACTCGTGCATTATTTCTCCTCCAAATGAAGATTTGCTGTGTGGGACAGAGGTTTTTTTTTTAGAGTGTTTCTTCATGTTACTCCTTACATGCCAGGCTTATATTTTGATGAAGTGGTTCACTAAGGAAAGACAAAAACAATTGCATGACATAACACATCTGTGCATTGAACAGAATGAGTCCTTATTCCCAATGTGTTTAAGGGTTGTTCAATGTATTGCAGCAGAGAGAGAGAGCTCTTATAGATACCAATGGGAAGGGGTAAATTCCTTCCTTACCTATGCTTCTTCCACTGCTTGATTTTAATTAGGAAAGATGGTACATAATATTTTTTCAGGGAATAATATGACATGACATGCATATATTTAGGCCCTTAGAGTCAAACTGTGTGATGTTTTACAGATGTCCTGTTGAATGCAGCTTTTCATTTGGAATTACATGTAGGATAGTATTAAGTCATAAATGTGCTTTACATGGAAGCTAGTAAGAGATCTTGTTAGAGACTACTACTCCTTTTTTTGTAAACTTTTACTAGTGCTTTGCCGGAGAACACATTGATGGAGTGGACTTCTCTATATTTCCTAAGCATGAGAAAGTTGACAAACTTGTGACTGTAAATACATTTTAGCCATTGGTTAAGGCCCTCAGTCTTTCCAATGAACAAGCATGGGTGATAACACTTGTAAATATTTGGTTTGATGTAAGTAATGCTAGTTTAAACTGACAACGTTTTCAGTGAAATACTGCTGTTCTGTCAATAGTTTTGAATAGGCATTATCACTATGCCCATGTAAAAAAAAGTATTTCTCACATACCTTACCAAATTTTCTCTTATAGGATGTATGTACTTTCCCTTGAGCAAAGGGGAAGCAGATCTTGTGATGCTATTATTCAGTTTTGCCAACAGCAAAAGGTTGCTTGCACACTGTCGACACTTTGATGTGCATTTCTTAAGATGAAATTATTCATATTTCAAGCCATATAATCAGAGTCACTTCAGCTGTGAAGAAAGGGTTATCCACATATTACACCATTAAAGGTCCAAGTGTATGATGAGTTTGCTGCAGTGAAACCTTCACTGACAAGAGATTCCTATTGTTAGTTGTTACAAGTAGAATTGGCCAAGAAGATGGCATTTCTTTAAGGGATAAGTTCTCTTTGCACATCAAAGGCCATTTCACTGGATTCTGCATGCAATCATTTCAATTATGTGTTCTAAATTGCATGCCACACTTCTAATTTCAAATCTGACTTCTAAAAAATATCTCAGTAGGTGCTAATCCCACTAGGACTTTTCATCTTTGGGTCTGGTGATGTGCCTTATGGATTTTTAGCATTTTGTATTTCGTTTCTCTGAAGCAAAGCTTTCTTTTTTTGTGTGTCAGGAGCGACTTTAGAAACTGCCAAGTTGCTACTGGAGCAAAGCAAAAAGTTATTTAATAAGTTTGAGAAACAAGATGATGCATGCCTTGAGAATCCCTGAGCAAGAAGAACGTAGGCATGAGTTTGTATGACAGCATAATATGGCGGTATGATTGTGAAATCAGTCTAATTGGTTTCTGATGAGTTTGTAAACACCACAGTACAAAAATGTCAGATGCTGTCTTAATGATGTTTTTCAATATGTCAGGGATGTGTTGTGTTAATGGGAATGGGAAATCCTATATCTCAGACCTCCTCTCCTATGCTGTAAAAAGAGAAGGCTCATCATAGTTTACTCTTCTATTATGCACTTTTAAGAAAGGAAGGTCTGTCTGTTTGTAGCTTTAAAATCACTTGCATGTTGACACCAAAAAGATCATTACTCCAATTATGCTTCATAGTTACCGTAGTTTCAGATCTTAATCTCCCGATTCCCCAACTCTTTGTATTTCATGTGTATTTCATGTGTAAAATATGAAAATAGAATATTGTAGTATATAGAAAGTCAATAAGATGAAATTTTTTCAAATATACATCAATACTGTGCTAAAATGTGTCTTAAGGAGTTTGACTCCTCTGCATGTGCTTTGAAAGGAGTAAAATTACTATGCACAAAATGATGATGAAGTATAATAAATGACAGACTTTTTATGTATTGTCAAAGGCTTCCATGGATGGAATCACTGGGTTGTTGTAGGTTTTTCGGACTGTATGGCCATGTTCTAGAAGCATTCTCTCCTGACATTTCGCCTGCATCTGTGGCAGGCATCCTCAGAGGTTGTGAGGTCTTGTTTTAATTTTCCCATCACTGTAATATTATGCAGGTGCTCAGTAGCTTTAACAATAAACAGATCTTACATATTCTCTAATTCACTATGCTTATTGTGGCACTCACCAGTTAGGAATATGGTGATCTGGAATATGAAAGTACAGTAGAGTCTCGCTTATCCAACATAAACAACCGGTAGAACGTTGGATAAGTGAAAATGTTGGATAATAAGGAGGGACTAAGGAAAAGCCTGTTAAATGTCAAATTACATTATGATTTTACAAATTAAGCACCAAAACATCATGTTTTACAACAAATTGACAATAACAGCAGTTCAACATACGATAACATTTTGCAGTAATGACAATTTACAAATTAAGCACCCAAACATCACAATATATTGAAACAGCTGTGGATCCGGGCAGGAGGCAGACTGCATTGGATAATACAGAACATTGGATGAGCAAAAGTTGGATAAGCAAGACTCTAGTAACAGTTTCACTTAAAGCAGAGAAATGGCAATAGAATGGTGATTTGCATTTTCCACTATACATTTCATATAGTAAGCACAATTTAAAAAGTTGAATCAAACAACAGTTTCAGTGCCAATCTGAAAAAGAGTAAACCTAGGCAGTTAAGAGAACCTGCTGTCTGGTTACTAGTCCTGATGTTAACTATAAAAGTATAAAATAGACACAAATCAGGTTTAAACATACTTAGGTGACAGCAATGCATGTGCTGCTTTGGCTACAAATTTAATCTTTGGTGATAATGCCAGACAAAATCAGACAATGGTCATATAGGGACATAAATGTTTAATGATTGAATGCAAGATCCAGATGGCTTTTGTGTCCCCACCATCTGTGAAAATAGACGAGCTGTTTCATCTCTCCCTTGACAACAGCCCAATGGAATAACTTGTGAAACCCATTATTTTACCCCTTAAGTAGAAACATACGCTGAAATTTGAAATTTACTTTTATTCCAGATGTCATTATTTCTAGCTTTGTGTGGTGTGTAGAACCTTTTTTTAAAAGGAATGCATGTCTTAACACTGACACTGATGTTAATCAGAAAGATACATATAAAGATGGGAGTATCTCATGGGGTTGCCCTAAATTGATGGGCAACTAGAGGGTGCATATACATGCACCTGCTTTTAAATCTCACCAAGCTGTGAATTTAGTTGGCCGTTTGGTGGAATTGTTTTTGCCGCTTAATTCTTTTCTCTATACTGCTAAGATAAAAATACTAGCATACTTTGCTTATATTGCATGCCTGAAATAAAAAGATAAAGTCACTGATTATATGTAATACAAAGGACGTTAATCTAACATCTATAGTTGATGCACAGAGGTAGAAAATGGCAGCATATGTAAAAACACAAGCTCTTACATAAGCCTTAATTATGACAGTCTTTTTCTAGGGACAAACCTGCTGTTAAGTAGAGCTGCAGAGTTCAGAGGGAATGATGTTTTCCTTCCTTTGTTTCATTAAAAATAAATAGAAAGCCATGGAGTGATGCTGATTTGACCTTAAGTGAGATATAAAAACGAGTACTAATCATGGTTCTTTTTCATTGTACAGCTTGCAAAGTTTGTCTTCATAACCATGTTCTATTACTACTAGACTGTTACAATTGAATTATGTGAACACAGGACAAGATGACCAATGACAGAAATTCCCTTAACATTATAGCAATTTCACCTTAAATAAAGATGAGCATGTTCAACTCTCTGGATTCCAGTTAATTTATCTAATGCCTCTAGCTGTGACAGTCTTCATTAGGTTTCCCTTGCTAGATTCTATGTATTATTGTTCTACAAATTTGACTAGGAAATAAAATATAATCATTGAATCCTCATAGATATTAATAGACATCTAGCATTTTTTTATATTGTGCATTCTTTCTATATTCATTTTTGCAATATTTTAATAGTTTTTAGAAATAACATATTTACTTGTGTGTTTTTTTTTCCATGTCAGGAGCAACTTGAGAAACTGCAAGTCGCTTCTGGTGTGAGAGAATTGGCTGTGTGCAAGGATGTTGCCCAAGGGGCGCCTGGATGATTTACCATCCTGTGGGAGGCTTCTCTCATGTCACTGCATGGGAAGCTGGAGCTGACAGACGGGAGCTCACCCCGCTCTGCAGATTCAAACCACAGACCTTTCAGTTCACAGTCCTGCCAGCACAAGGGTTTAACCCATTGCACCATCAGGAGATCTATTACTTGCATGCTAGAAACTAGTCTTTACTTGCTTTATGATATTATGAGATTATGTGTGTGTGTGTGTGTATGTTTCTGTAAAGTGTGTAACATCCCATTATACTAACAGTAACACTGATGTGATGGGGATGATTGATTATATAACAATGTTGCATTTCTGTTTTTAATGTGTATTACTAGAAACATTGTGAGCTCATTTTATTGAGTTTACTCTGTAAAATCAATTTTTTCAATTGATTTACACTTCTTCTGCAAGTATTCTGAATCAAACTTCACTGAATCCAAAAGATACTCAATACCCTCAATATAAGTTTGTGTCCAGAGTTGTCCACACCAACAAATAATCTGTACCAACCCCAATGCAGGGTTGTGGTAACACATGACATATTTTAATCGTGAAAGAGATTATCGTATATTTTACTGCTATTTTACAAAACACACTTCCTCCTTTGCAGTTTCCAGGAAACCTCATTCTTTTGCTACTTGTGTCTTGGGGTGATGTAGTGGTGGTACTAGTAGCCCTTTGAAGGCAACCATAAGGCTGATGTGGTCATAGAATCATAGAATCAAAGAGTTGGTCCTCAGTGAAAATATGTTTGACCTATGCTATAAGGCATAGTAGTTGCTGGTCGGTCTATGTGTGTTACAATCAGTTAAGCATAGTAAGTTTCAATGTATTGTACACTTTCATGACCAGAATCACAGGGTTGTTGTAAGTTTTCCGAGCTGTATGACCATGTTCCAGAAGCATTATCTCCTGACATTTCGTCTGCATCTATGGCAGGCATCCTTAGAGGTTGTGAGGTCTAGTGAGTTTCATTTGCTTGTTTTTCTCCTAAATGTGGCACTTTTAAGTGTCTTCTCATTTATACATATTTAGTCATAAATATGCAATCCTTGTAGAATCCTAACCAATACTTTCTGAATTCAAGTGTTAATGCTCATCGGTGTACACTTTCTATGTCTTTATCACTACTTTTGTAAGATGCTTCCCTTTTCTAGAGAACAGAAATAAAATGTTTCCTTTTCATTACATCTCAAAAGCCTACTTCTTTTCGGTTACCCTTCCAAAAGCACAATATTATTCACAGCCCTTCCGGATGGGTCAAGCTTTAACCTACTTCCTACCCTGTAATTTCTATGCTAATCTTGGCCAGATAATTTTATGTGCTTCTCTGACATTCGATATTCTTCTTGTATTGCAGTTGTAGTTCTTGAAAGCACATGGAATATCAATGCACTTCAAAGATACTTATTTCTCTGTGACTAACATATTGGAGTCCTTTGAGTCCTATTGAAAACACAGGATTGGAATGACATGTCTGAAACCCAATATATTTTTTCTCCCAGTAAAATTATATTGGTCTATACGTCATCCATTACTTGTGCTGCCTCCATCTGTCTCCTAAGCTAAAAACAGTGTCCTTTGTATGCCCATGGGAACAGCCTTCAATGTCTGGTTTTAACTATATCCTGCAAGAGAAAAAGTAACTGTGAAATTAAAGAAGTTACATTTTCTGTTGCTAATGGAGTTGAACTTTCTCATCTCAGGAAACCTCTTAAGAACTGAATTATTTCACACTGTTATTTTTGAATTGTGGTACCTGAATTACTTAGATGAAGGGTTAGAAGGCATGATTATCAAGTTTGCAGACAACACCAAATTGGGAAGGTTAGCCWATACCACAGAAAACAGGAGCAGAATTTAAAACCATCTTAACAGATTAGAGAGATGGGTCAAAACTAACAAAACGAAGCTCAACAGGGACAAATGCAAGATACTCCACTTAGGCAGAAAAAAATGAAATGCAAAGATACAGAATGGGGGGCTCCTGGCTCAACAGCAGTACATGTGAAAAAGATCTTGGAGTCCTTTTGGATAACATTAAACATGAGCCAACAATGTCATGCAGTGGCAAAAAAAAAATCCAATGGGATTTTGGCCTGCATAAATAGGAGTATGGTGTCTAGATCCAGGGAAGTCATGCTACTCCTCTAATCTRCCTTGGTCGGACCACACCTGGAATCACACTGAGTCCAATTCTGGGCACCACAATTGAAGGGAGATGTTGAATCTAAGCTGGAATGTGTCAAGAGGTGGGCGACTAAAATGATCAGGGGTCTGAAGAACAAGCCCTATGTGCTGGTACAGCTGTACAAGAAGCTCCCACTTTATTTGCTTTGTATTAAGTGTTTGCTTGCAGCCCAAGGCTTCTGATTCTGCAGCAGGGTGGCTTCCTGTTAAAGTTTGCAGTTATAGGGCAGGCCACATGTTCATCATCATTAGGTTCCTTAGTTCTGCCCCCTTTTTGGGTTTTGGAGGGAAGGGAGCCATTTTCAGTCAGTCACACACAAGGAAGCTAATCTATAGGACGCAGACCAGCTCGTCCCATAGGAAAAGCTTCATTCCTCAGGATCGTCCGGGGATCATCCAGGGAAATAGAAACAGAAGGAAAAGATCCCAAAGGCTCTGGCTGAGAGCTCACAGCCTCACAGCACCAGAGGGGAAAACAGCCCTGAAGTTCCCACAGGACAGCATTACAGAACCACTGAATTCCAGCTGAAGTATCTTCAAGCATTGGCTGGTAGGTTTACTCGATGTCTAGACGCATTTGGGATCGGTAGTAAGACCCAGACCAGCAAGGCCCAGATAATAGACAGCCTGGTAGAGATTATAAAGGGTTCTTCCTCATGCTGAGAAAGTACAGTTAATCCAAGTCAGTGCCAATCTCTTAAAGACTAGAATAAGAAAACCTTGAAGTGTTGTTTGAAGATTTGTTATTTGTTCCTTAATAAAGACTTTATTGTACCATTAAAGACTCCTAAGACCATCACTTCAGGAAATCCCTAAGAATCTCTCTTTGAGGCACCC